GTTGCAACATAGCTTTCGGTGAGGAATCAAAAGAAAATATTAGTGATGCAGCGGCCTCTGTTTCTTTGGCAGTACATTTATGGTGACAAGAAAAAGACCTTTCTGCATTGAATTCCTAGCATACAATGAGGTATGGTAGCGAAAAAGATCTCAATCGAATAGGCTACCTCCAACAATAGCTTTCAGCAACGGACACATCCTTAGAGCTTACTTACAGTACATAACTGAGTCATGCTTAACGCTGACAGATCTGAATCCCCTTGACTACGGCAGAAATTGGCTCCTGGTGCACTTACGAACCAGATGCACCATAGTCTCATTTATGAAACCTTATATGTGTAACTTTCTGTCGATGTTGAAAAGGCCTGTTTGACTTCAGATGTTCATGTAGGAAATATCTTCAATTGTTTGCCACTTGTGGACGATGCCTGGTTGAACCTGCAGCAAACATTAGACATATGAACTAAGAACAGCGGTATTTTGATTAAAATAAACTGGTATTAATAATAGTCTTGGTACTTTTACTGAAATACACAGTTTTTGACTAACTGTAATTGTTATTTGTAGATAAGTTTTAAATAGATTGTAAAATAATCTTTAAACAAAATTAGGTGTATTTTTTTTCGAAATTTCATAAAAAATGAGAAAAATTTCAAAAAATTCCATTTATTTCAAAAATAAAGCTCCAATCGATTTTCTGAAACTATCATTCGCCGCCCATAATGTGGCCATTGCGGTCATTATTTCACCCCCTATGGAGATCTCAAGACTTCGGAGCCGAATAACCAATATTAGTGGGTAGGGCGTATGGTCCTGTAGAATAATACTATAAAAATTTTTCCCAAAAGTTTTCAGCTGGACGGTTTTTTTTTTTGTGGTTCCTGACATAGACAACACATTCCTGTAACAAACCTTGGTTACGAATTTGTTCACTAGATTGAACCCATAAACAGCAATTTCTTGCCTCTAACTATTTAAGTAAGGTCCGATTAGAAGTCGTAATGTAGCTCGCTGACTCACAATCTGCGACGTCGTCGTGACATTAATTTCCGCTCCTGAAGCACATTCTCACAAAACTTGCTACCCGGGTGTGGTGGCCCCCTATATTCAGTAAGCTGTATTTGCCAACTTCATAACCTCTGATCCACAAGCTTTCTTTGCTATAAGTAGCTAACTTTGAAATGAAAATCATCTGTCCCCTTATGCTGCCAGTGCACGTAACCCGAGATTAAGAGGTACGAAGAGCGTCACAATCGCCCGTAGGGGTTGTGTTAATATTGTATGGTTATTTGTTTTGTGGGTTTTGGGGGTTTGTGTCGCTCCTGCACTGCACACACTCACACTAACCTGAGGGATATTTAAAACATACAAGTCACGTGAAAGGATTTTATTAGCAGACTTTCGAAAATACTTGTTAAATGTCTTCAGCGTCACACTGCACACTAAGCTCGCTCCTGATCAACCGACACTTTATGTCCTATTAGCACAAAAGAGGAATCCTCGCATCATTTCATTTTCAATGTTTAACATCCTCACAACGCAATTAAAATTAAATACATTTTATTGTGAAAATATTATTAGTCCACTATTCTCCCCAAACTTCAAGTTCAACCGATCGTGCAGTAGTAAAGAACAAAAAGTATCTTACGCATATAAATATTAGCACGATCAAGTGATAGGGGCTAAATTATCATTGCTGTTTTACGATAACAGATTATATATTCTACATTTACATAATAAAAGGTAAATTATGTCAAATGACAACATGTACTTTTATCAGCATCCGGTCGTAGTGTCCTGCAGAAAGAACCCGTTTAATTTTTTTTTTGTTTCTTACTGAATACGAAGTCAATAGTTTGGTACTGAAGAACTAACCTGTTCTTACTGAAACACGAATTCAATGATGGACTGAAAGATCGTAACCTATTTCTTACTGAACGCGAAGTGAAATGATGCGTCCGAGGAAGATGGTGTCGTCACCGGATTTGTTATATGTTATATTTATGCAAATGAATCCGTATCTTGCGATCACGAAGTGGTTATGTATCTCGTTATCATTTATACTTCAATCTGTAATCTCCGTAATTCATCTATGAAATGTCTATATTTATTTATACATATTATTGTTTAATTTACGTAAAAAGTTTTATATAGCATTCATGACCGAATCATATGAAAATTATATACATGCAATTCAAATTGATAAATTAGTACAAATCTCTACAATAAATCTAAATTAGTCTTTGTAACAGTGTACGCCGTCCACGTGAAGTTGGGGGTTTAAAACAACATTTTATCGGTTGTGGTTAATTATACGTTGTGGAAATTATACGTTTGTGTGTCATTGCAGAGCTATATTTATTGGCGTAGTACTCGGTCGGACAGATATTTTTGATGCGATAAAAACTGACTAAAAATGAAACTAATAGCTTCCTTGTGTGACCACGGCTTTTTAGATTTCATTATAATATACAAAGAATACTTATATTTTTATGTAATCTGTTTAATTCAAATTGTATTTCAATCGTAGATGTAAAATTTCTAATTTCTTATTGTACCACAATTCTGTAGTACTGATTTACAACGTCGAAAAACTTCTTGAAAGACATAAACCCTCAAATAGATACCAAGCATCGCACACGTTGTACGTGCACCCGGGTTAATACGACGCTATTGTCAGCACTGCGCGCGCGCACACGTACCATCCTTATATTGGCGATCTGTATGTGCCTATCCTACTTGTGAAACAGAGCGCGTCACGCAGTACGCGTAGCACATGCTATGTGAAAACTTCTTATCATCAACTTTTTTCTGTCGGAACCCCTTCAGACATCGTCCGAAGGGGAGTACTACACATGCACTACATATATAACATTTAACGGTGATACACGAAAATATTTTTTGACCTACGTTGCAATGCCACTTAGTGCGCGTGAAGCGCGCGCCGCCGAAGGCGGAAAAAATCTTTGATATTTGTACTGACTGTATAGAAGTATGAGATCTTCCTTTGTACTCAGTGTTACTGTGTGAGAAACATGTATAATAATGATACTAGTGGACTCCAATTAGGCGCTTCCTAGTCAGCCTTTAACTGTTAAACGAGGCCTGCTTTGTTGCACTGAAAATAGTTCTCTTGTTAGGTCTAGATCTTAATTCTTAATAAATGTTTGCTTTAGTTTTATTAACATATATCTCATAATCTTATGCTTTTATTTTTCTGTATATTTGAAATACGCTTCATGATGCATGACATATGCTTTTTAGTAATATAAAACGCTTTAAGATTACTATTTCTTCAGCCAATTGCTCAATTGCATGTACTGATGTCGCATGAATCATTATGATAAACACTAAAATTCTTCAATATTAAATTTCGCTGGAAAAGCAATAAGTTTCGCATGTAACACAGTTTCAAACAGCCCCAAGTAAAGTGCAAAGTGTAATGATGTATTGTTATTATGTATCCGTAATATAGTATAGTAATGTATATTTATTATGTCACGTGTTATTTTTAACCGCTTTTTTCAGTGACAGGAATGAGAGGCTTATGAGGTTGGCTATATTGAGTGATTTGTTACCATGGTTACCCTAGTAACCATAATAACCCTGCTATATTGAGTGATTTGTCTATCTATTGATATATTCTATACTGAACCTGCATGAATTAATGTGCACGATAAAGATCGCTCTAACAATGTAATATAGAGTTTAGTTGCTTAGCAACTCTCTTATAGATTATCACGCTGATTTATTTGTTCTCTTGATTAATGCACGTCTTCCTTTTCTCTGTAATTTGATGATTGATATGATATCTGTAAGATGTCTATACAAACTAGTAGTACTCCTGTAGTGGCAGTAATGTTTTAATGCTCTGAAACTAGTAGTTCTAATGCTCTGAAACTAGTAGTTTTAATGCTCTGAAACTAGTAGTTTCAATGCTCTGAAACTATTATTTTTAATGCTCTGAAACTAGTAGTTTCAATGCTCTGAAACTAGTAGTTTCAATGCTCTGAAACTATTATTTTTAATGCTCTGAAACTAGTAGTTTCAATGCTCTGAAACTAGTAGTATAGAGATATGTGATACGGGAAACGTTTCCCCCTGAACTACACAGGATTGTATTACCTGGACCCTCAGAGCAGTGTTGAGAGATCATATTACCCTGTCTCTCAGTGGATCACTCTTAGTTCCACACTTTTCAATGATCGTGTTTCTTTGTGCTGATTATTCAACACTAAGAAACACGGTCATTATTATATGTTGATTTGAAATTGGCTGATTGTTGATCGTGTACACAGTGTGTTAGTGTATCTTAGTGTACCTCAGTTTAACATGTCCTATAAGCCTGAACCTAGTAACCCTACTGCGTGAGTGATTTGTTTTTAACTAATTAAACAGTCGACATTTACACGAAGTTCAGATTGTGTTTATTTTAATTTGTGTGTTTCGTGTGTGTTTATGTTATAACGTTTCAGTGAACACACCAATAGAAATGAGGCGCAAATGAGGTAATTTAAAGTATCTGAGTTTACTGTTGTGATGTGTTTTGGTTGGAGGTTGTAGCACGTTATTTAGCATGTGTTTTGGTTGGAGATTGTAGCACGTTATTTGGGTTTGGTAGCATGTCTTGATAAAGCATTGTCTTGATAAACTATATCAGCTGATACTATAGTTCACAGATCCACTTCAGTGTATGTAATAATAGTAATGCTGTTTGAGGTGTTAACGAAATCTATTTATAGATTATGATTTCACCTTTACACGCTGCTAAATTATATTATCATCATATTGTATACACTGTTACATCACTGCTGTTTGCAATATGGCTGAAGTAGTGTTTAGCTGCATATCTATTCTACATAACAGCTCCCATTACATTGACTAGAGTTGTGCATTTCTGTAATTTATTATTTAATTTTTAGCCTATTATTGTTATAGAATTCCATTATTATAGTTGTAAAATATAAGTTAAAGTTGTATTGCCTAGCTAACTAGTAAGTTTTATAGTTGTTTAGTTAAAAATAGAAGGGGATGTCTAAGAGGGCCCAAACATGGGCCGGGCCTGCGGGTCATGTCACTGCCAACCCTAATACGTAAGTATAGTAGTAACCATAGTAACCATAGTAACCATAGTAACTATAGTAACCATAGCTATAGTGAGTATTCCATTAACTTGGTTCTAACGGTATGTACAATGTACAATGTATATCATCGGTCCACATCATACTCTAGTGTATGATGTGGACCTAGAGTTTGGTTATTTTATGTCAATCATACTGATCTCTTCGTACAACAGAATCGGGTGCAGAACTAAGTTTAGTAATGATAAAGTGTGATCACTAGTCCCAGATTGTATCCTTGTATCCTAGTCACTACCATAGTAATGATAAAGTGTGCTATCGTACTGTTTGTTTCAGGGAGGCGATGGCCGCGTTTCAAGGAGGACGGCGCGGCACCGGGGTGAACTCCAACAATTGGCAGCAGAGGTACCAAACTATGCGGGCCAACAAGTTGAAGGGGGACGTAGTGGAGAGAAACAATTCCAACACTGGAAACCTGGAGAGAGGACAGCGTCCTGGAGCCTTCACTATGATGAAGAACTTTTACCAGGGTTATTCTAACGTAAGTTCTACCTGTCCCTGTCCCTGTCCCTGTCCCTGTCCCTGTCCCTGTCCCTGTCCCTGTCCCTGTCCCTGTCCCTGTCCCTGTCCCTGTCCCTGTCCCTGTCCCTGTCCCTGTCCCTGTATTAAGTGTCGACAGATAAATAAAATTCTAAAGTTAACCCTTCCAGCCGGAGACAAGAGCGGATACTTTGAGACACGGCTGTGCTGTGGACCGTTCCACAAAATTCGCTGATAACGAGTTCTTCGGACCTGACGGAGCAACTACCGCTAAAAAGGGTGGAACGTAAGTAACCATAGCAACTTTTCAATTAGTTTACTTAGTTATTCAATTACCAGTTTATCATATATCTATATCTTTGACGCGTGTGTAAGGAAATGAGAAACATAGTCAATGATATCAAAAAATTCAAGTTGCCTATTTACCCTTTATATTAAACAGGTTGCCTGGAGATGCAGAGATCCACACTGACGGTGAGAGAAATATAGGAGAGGGGTTTGTTGCAGATTTAATGGACAGGGAGTATATTACTTTAAATAAGCTGCCTCCGGACGTCAGAAAGCAGCTACGAGTCAAGTTTGACAACAGGTCAGATTTTTTCCTTTTCACCCTTTTGAAAAAAGGCAATAGTGAAAGGTTACGAATGGACGTTTTTTGCAGAAAAACGTGGATTTTGGAGATTGGGGTAGGTGGGTCAAATATATGTCGTGTTCCTTCCATATGTTACCAAGCAACGAAAAATTTGCGCGCGCGCGAGGATTGCTTGCGGAGATGTGATGTATAGATAGCCTGTGATCTATGAATGCGCGGCGCGACTGTGTTTTAATGTATACAATGTAATGTATAGTATTTTGTAATAAGCCCAACTTGAACGTGGCACGCGTAGTGTACTGATGTTTCAATATTATTATTACAAGGTGAGCTGATTAGAGCTTATATTAATAGTTATAGTGAAATGGAAATCTAGCGTCCGCCAAAACGAAACAACGGGGGCAATTCTTGTTTTGATATTATCTTATCTTATGAGGATTCGTTATTATTATACAACTTTATTCAAATAAATAAATTGTATTAACAAATTAAAAATCCGATAAGTAACCTACTAAAACTAAAATAACTTTCTCCACTTAGGTCTGTCTTGGGCTAAAAAAATCAAATTATAAATGTCTTCTGTTTTTACTATTCTTAATATGTTTTACTGCTGTCGCACCGTTGATTAAACTTTAGATAAGGTTGTATTATCTTAGTCTATCATCATATAATGCGACCAATTAACTTAGAACTTAATAGATCGCGGTACAGTTCTGGATTTTTTAGTTTAATAAATATTAAAAAGGAAAACAGTTGAACACTGAACAGTTGTACCAATAAAACATCATATATAATGCCTGCAGTATAACAGGCATTATATTAGTAGCAGTGTAGCAGTGTAATTAATTCAACATTCACACACTTGAGGTTCTCTTTGCATTTTCAGTCTTATAGTGGTAATGTAGGTCTGATAAGGATGTTTAGTTTAAGTAGCGAGTTATATTACTGACTACAGTTAACTAACAGTTTAATTTTAGTTACTTCAATTTTCGAAGACTCTTCACATGAAGGTCATGTACCTATTCTGTAATTAGTTTTCAAGTTAAATAAAATTTCACTATTTCAGACCATACTTTACCTCGTGGGTAATGTTTGTTAACATTGTCATCGTCATTATCACCCTGGTAACGCAAAATATAGCTCCTATTGGCTTTACAGATAAGGTACGTTATTTTATATGTCGCTATTATTATAATGCAAATTGAAACGACCGCCAGACCGGTTGAGTTGAACAATTGTTTCAATCATGAAAGCATGATATCATTATCGTTTCAATTTGTATTATATATATCTATATATCATATAATATATCATTACACCCAAGATATTCAAATTTTGTTGAATTAAATTTTACTTTGATTTAAATCATCCATATCCACTATCCAGTCGCACTATCTGAAATACTGATACATTATTCAGCCACGTGGTTCCTAACTATTGAAACTATTGTAGGAAGTAAGAAGACAGCTGCTGAGACATAACCTAGCGTACGAGACTATTGGATACAACCAAACAACCAACTTCTGGATAGGTCCTGACTATCAGAGTCTCATTCATCTGGGGGCGAAATATTCTCCTTGTATGAGAAAAGACAAGGTAATTGTGTATTCTGTGTTGATAAAAGACCACGCAATCTGTTTGGTAACATGTTCGATCTAATGTCGGTGCAAGATGAATGATGATATGGGAATATATGTGAGCGGTGTGAGTAGTCATTACCCAGTGTATCCTGGAATGTGATCAGGTTTATATAAATACTGTGATTATAAAGTAACCATGTTTATTTGCAGGCATACTTTGAGAAGATAGCAGATGACGCAGCAGTTGAGGACACGTCTGGTTGCTGTATAAGGAAGGATCTGAACGCCTGCTGGCAAACTGAGAGGTCAAAGTGTACGTCATCATTTGCAGAGTTTAAAGATGACAAGGTCAGTTAGTGTTATTGTTTATAGTGCAGTTTAGGGGGGGGGGGCGGGGGCCCGGGGGGTGATATAGAGATATAGGGTCAGTACAAAACACTGAGTAGTAGACACTGTTACATAAAGAGTGTTTATATTAAAAGTTGTAATTATTATTATCAAACTTTACACAAATCTGAAGTAGTTAAAAATAAACATCCTAATATTTATAACACTGATTGTATGAATCTGCAGGTATGTGGGCTAGGAAAAGATGGTTGTCTGAACGAAGCTTATTCTAACGATTCACTTTGGGAGGGATCATATTCAACCTGGCCTGACTGTCCGGTACATATTATACATTATATTATGTAATAACACCACTTTTATGTGTGATATCTTTAATACTATTATTTGGTTTGCTTTTCACTGTATTTGATATTTCACAGTAGATTATTACAGTAGTGGTTATGTTAACTATCTGTATATTGCAGGTGAAAGAAGAGTATAAAGAGGACATTAAGAACTTGAAGGTACCAAACGAGCATTTACTGTGTGAGGTTTCAGCTAGACCCTGTTGTATTGGCCTTCAGGGAGAGTGCACTATCGTCTCTCAGGTAAATATAGTGTATTATAGTAACCTAGTAACCTAGTAACCTAGTAACCTAGTAAACTAGTAACCTAGTAACCTAGTAACCTAGTAACCTAGTAACCTAGTAACCTAGTAACCTAGGCCTAGTAACCTAGTAACCTAGTAACCTAGTAACCTAGTAACCTAGTAACCTAGTAACCTAGTAACCTAGTAACCTAGAAAATATAGTGTATTATAGTAGTGTATAGTACATTGTATATTGTATAGTACTATGTTTGCAGTACAATGATGTGTACTGTTTTATAATGGTTATTGTGTATAGTTTCTCACTGTACACAAGACCAATCTTCAGTATTTCTCTCAATACATTTAAATGAGTTGACATTATAGCATTATGCACACTGTACAGTTTAATTCAAACAATGTGCTAGTACAATACAAGTTCAGGAAATGTGGGGACACAGTTTCCTTATAGTATATAATTACTCCGTATACACGTTGCCATGGCACCATAGTGAACGCTACAAATGTGTAGTACTTTTTAAAGAAATAGTAATAATTATTTGTGTTTCAGGAAGAGTGTCAGTTCAGAAAAGGATTCTTCCACGAAAACGCAACTCTCTGCTCTCAAGTAAGCCTATTTACGCTAAATATTCCCGCACAGAGTTTCAATAGATATTACCTAATTACCATGCACTTTGTAGACTAGTATTTCTATTAATATTAATAAGTAACTTACATTAATGTCACACTTCATACTTTCAATATTACCTTTGAGTATCATAACGCGTGTTTCAAGCCGAAAGTATCAAATGTATTGACTGAAAACTTACTGTACTGTACAGTACAGTACAGTACAGTACTGTATTATACTACATAACTACTATTTAATATACTAAAATCGCTCAGGTGAGCTGTACTGTACTGTACTGTACTGTACTGTACTGTACTGTACTGTACTGTACTGTACTGTACTGTACTGTACTGTACTGTACTGTACTGTACTGTACTGTGCTGTACTGTACTGTATTATACTACATAACTACTATTTAATATACTAAAATCGCTCAGGTGAGCTGTGTGACAGATATTTGTGGATTGTCAGGTTTCTTGTTTGACGACATTCCAGACCAGTTCTACCGAGCATTACTCCCTACATTCATGCACGCTGGAATTATACATCTCGTCATCACGTTAGTTTATTAATGATGTTACTGTATCATATTATAATGGTACCTTAATTAATGTTTTAGCAACAAATAACACATGTTGGCAGATTGAAATTAATTGAGAAAATATTATGGAGACAAATGTATGTTTCTGTAACTGGAAAAATGTGTCAGGTTAGTTTTCCAAGCCACCATATTGAGGGACATGGAGAAGTTTGCAGGCTGGTGGAGGATTGGTTTTATCTACTTCGCTAGTGGAATTGGAGGCACCATGCTATCTGCCATCCTTATCCCTTACCAACCCGAGGTCAGTTTATTGAACATGTGTTGGATGTAAGCTTCACAGCTGAACATAGTGTAATGAAGCTTCCTATCGAATACCTCTCCTTATGTAAACATACCACCAAATAAACACCCCACTAAATACCTGTGTTACATCCGAATACCGCGGCCGCTGAGAACACATTACGCCGAATCGTTTACAAACAGTCAACTCTGCGCTGATATTAGAATTACGACGCGCGCGCGGACCGGGTTCGACAAAAATGTTATTTTGCCGGTTGATCATGTTTGTTGTACTTGTTTGGGGACCGGTTTTTGGTACACCGGCCAAACCAATAAGAGCACATTATACATACATAGGGAGGGAGATTGAGGGGTCAGATGGTTTTTGTGTATCCAATCAGAAAATATTCTATGTAGTACTAAATAATTTCTTTCTTAAGAGTGGATCTTTTCAACTCCATTTGAGGGCTGAATTTTGGTCCAAAATAATGGTTACATAATACATTTTGTCACTGTTAAGTATTTTTAGCCTCTGATCAGTTGTTGGGGTGATTCCATTTCGTTTCACACATAATATGTATAATATAATATAATATGTATAATATGATATAATAATAATATAACATGTATAAGAGGAATTTTTCCCTTTGAATCAATCAAACTAGATGAATTGTTGTAAATACTGAGATCAAACTATCAATCTACAGGCTATCGTCAAACATGTTGCAAGGCGTCATCTTCAGTGACATAAGCCCTAAAAATTGTAAAAAGTTAGTAAAACCCAAAATTCCTTTAAAAATGTGAACACTCTTAAAACGGTTATAACATGTATATTATGTATAATATAATAATAATATAACATGTATAATATGTATAATATAATAATAATATAACACACATAATATGATACTTGACTAAACATTATTTGCCAGGTGGGCGCATCAGGAGCACTGTACGGTGTGTTAGCATCTCTGATAGTGGAGGTTGTGGTGAACTGGAAGATCTACAAGTCCCCAATCCTGGAGCTGGCTAAACTCCTTCTCCTAGTCGCCCTCTTGTTCCTGGCCGGTCTGCTTCCTTGGATTGATAACTTCGCTCATATCGGAGGGTAAGATAACTACAGGCAAACCTTTCTATACCGTGCCTCTCTGTGCAGTATTATACAGGGTACCTCGATATACCTTTAACATACGTCAAAAACTTTGTACAGAAACGAAGGTTGGAGTTATAATGGCCGGAATTTTGAATCACACTTAATCTTAAACTTTGAGTCAACAGTGTGACAGATGATTTAAAAGTATTCTGATTTCAGCTTCTTGTTCGGTTTTCTGACATCGTTTGTGATCCTGCCCCATGTCAATTTCTCGGAGGAAGACAGAATCGCTAAACTGGTGGTTCAGATTGCGTGCGGAGTGTTGAGTGTTGTGTTGTTTGCTCTGCTCTTCATCGTCTTCTATCTGGCTCAGGTAAGCTCATACACATTACCCTCATTTAATCACAACATTATTATGACAGTACCACTATATTATTAGCTACAAAGCGTATAGAGTTTTACTGTTACCAAGATGTAGCCAACTTTAATCCTATGCTTACTTCGGCCGAAGTTGGTTTGCGAGTTGTTGACAGTAAGAGATCGTTTAAAATGTATGATGATAATATTTTAGCTATTTAAGAGCTTCTCATTCTGCGGGTCCCTTACTGTCACCAAAACGTAAACCAGCTTCAATCGAAGTTAACATTAGACCGAAGTTTCTGTCCACATTATTAGGTTAATTGTTAAAAATTTAACTTCGCAAGTTCGTGCAATTAGCAGCAATGTTTCAGGGCTCAACATGCGAGAACTGCATCTACATTAACTGCATCCCGTTCACTGACAGTTTCTGTCAAGACGCGACAATGGAATTGAGACCGAGAGTCGGAAACTAAAAACAGAAAGTCCTTTGCAAACCTTGCAGACAGTTGTGTTTCCGAGCTTAGCCAGGAGTTAAGCTAGAGGCGGTTATATCTAAAAACTTTGTTTGAGATTTTTCACTGCTTCAAGGCTGAGTTGGTTCAATTTGGAAGATTGTTTCGCTGCGTAAAACTTGCGACAGCATTCTGTTGAGTCTATCATGCAGTATTAATCGTGAAACATATTTAGTTGTAGACACTGAATAGAAGGGCTAAGCTGCGAAATAAGGTCGTTTTTTATTAATCTTTGAAAGTTTAGGTATGCGTTTATTTGCTGTGGGTATTGTTTTTGAGATTTGTATAATTAGAAAAATAAATAGAACTGCCGCGTACTAGCTTGGAGCAGAATTACTTAATTTGATATGCTAGTGTTTACTGTTTACATCCGTGTTGTAATAATATTTAATAACATTCTTGCAAATTTTGATACCGTTTTAATATCGATATTCGATTTGTGCATCAAATAAAACTATAAAATGCGAGGAATTTTCTCATGGGGGTAGACCATTGCATCCTGATTTAATTCATATTTCAAAAGATAATGTTTTATCTATTTCAGTTTTTGTGTTATTTCTTGGGTAAGCTTTTGGCCCAATAAATCAAGTCGAATCAAGTACAAACGCCTATTTTCTGTTAGGTTGTGCAGTCTATTATGTTTTAGACGATCGCAAAATTTAAGGCACATTTTATCATGATCACTGGTGACATGTTGATTGGCTGATTCAATCTTGCAGAATGGTATTTTGTTATATAAAGTTAACGAATCTTTTTCTTCTTTGTGTACTGTAGAATTTGTATTCCGAGTAAGGAATTTATTAATCATTGTAATTATTGGTTTTATTGAAAGCTTTAATGTTTAAAAGGAGAACGCAAGTGCTAAATTTCCTGCAATTATCAACAACAACAAATTGAGTAGGATGAGGTTCCTAGCCTAAATAGCAAAGCAAATGAATAAAGTAAACTAATCGCGCTAGAACTTACTGAGCGGTACTCAGCCTGTGATTCCACCATATAAATATAATATCTTCAATCGTGTCTATGAAGCGGGCCTAAGATCCTTAGGTTATATTTCATTCACGATGTCAATCCTTCGCAGCTCGGCGTGGCCTGGCATATGAGTGGTGCACCTCGCCGAATTGAAGTGGTTAAGTTGCGAGAAACATTATTTGATGCGCGGTCCAGTTAGTACATATAGTACATAGTAGTGTATTTCACCTAACCATGTGCTTTCGCGCCGCTGCGGGCGTGCTTGTTTTACACGTCACGCGCAGTCTTGTAGCGCGATGCGTTTCTGTGCCGCGCCGCGCACTCAATGAGGCTTCTCACAGCGACATCGGCGAGATGCGCTACTGTGCTTCACATAGCCATAATGTGTAACGTATACGCGTACTGCGGCGGTCGCGCGCTACTGCAAGCGAAAGGGCTCTGGTTATATTATTATATTAGAGCAACTACTGTGCCGCGCCGAGCTGAGATGAATTGACATCGTCAATTAAGCAATGTCCAAGTCCCAAGATTTCAGGCATCAGGATACACTGGAACATGAACAGTGCAAAGCTGATTATTGTTGCGAGATGCACTACTGGGCCGCGCCGCGCATCAAATAATGTTTTTCTTTGGTATGCAGTAGATCGGCGAGATGCATGGACCCAGCACCACTGGACCACTCCGAACTGAAAAGGATTGACATCGTGAATCAAGGATTATAAACTTACAAATAGTTTAGGTCCTATGACCTTAACGGGTGATATTCGTAAAATATTTGTTTCAAATATTATAATATATATTAGTCGACGCGTCTTGGTAGATTATAAACCTACAACTATGACCTATTATGTATTATAGTCAAAAATACAATTTAAATTGTGGATACTTTTATAAATTTTTGTAGGTTCTGAAGACATGTTCGCTAATACGTGGTTACTTTGTTCAAGTCTCAAATATGCTGAATTTGGTTATATATATGGGCATAAAATGTCAACTATGATAAAATGAGCTTTGAGATTCTAGGATATGACGTATACTACCACCCCACACCCTGGGTCCACTAATAACTTGAGATTTCACTTTCAATGCATAGTTGGGCAGGGAATGTCAAAAATGTAGTTTTTCTGGTACAGTATTGACTCACGGGCTCCATGTAACTGTTAGGACCTTTTTCAGGAGTTCTAGGGACCAATGTATGTCAAAACAGTAGCACTGCAAATAAAGGCCTGTCATCGGGAAACATTCTTCGGTTGATTTTGTCAATATTGTATGAGAAGGTTAGCTATATGTGATTTTCTGATATTCTCAGTATAACTGCCTATATTATTTCACCTCTAGTAGCAATATGGATCCAAATGCATACATAGGCAATTATCATTAGTGTCAATTCAACATGGAAGCGCAAGCTGTTGTTAGGCTTAAAAAGTCAATTTCGTAGCATATTTTGTCTGTGCTAGGCAATCTTTTCAAGGTTCAAGCAATTTTGTAATGTCAGATATTTTAAGTTTGGAGCAGGTCATATCAGCCAATTTGAACTTAAAGAGGATATGCTTTCTTGGGCTGGGAATGTCAATTGTGTGCTCTACTTATGTATCAAGCTTTAATGAGAGAAGTACAGTTAGTTAAAATAATGATTTATAACATTTCATTATTGACCAAAACAGCCCTTTAGTACAACTATTGGGACCTGAGACTACTTGGAGCATGCAAAGAAGGGTTTAAACTAAGCATGGACAACAACAATCAGTAACAACAAGCTATATTTGGGCTCAAACAGTCATTTTTGTACCAAGCAAAATTTTGTACCAAGCAAAATTCTACAGAAATAACATATATTAGCCTAACAACATGCGTATTATGATTTTGACTTGGTGAATATCAATCATTACACAATTGCAAATGGTTTAAAACTTAAAATAATCCTTCAAACTGTAATATGGCTTCTACAATCAATCTTTAATGAGAAGTACCTAACCTTGCAATAGCCTTTTCAGCCTACTACAGAAATGACATTAAACAGCCTCAGATAATAAAAAATACCACATTCTAGGACTAACACAATCTATAATACCATAATTCATGCCTCAACATGTTTCTAACTACAACATATATGGGTAAATGGTGTCAATATAGCTCAGAGTCACAGATATAAACCAGAGTACAGAATTGACTAAAAGGGCCCCATGAACAATGAAACACATCTGAACTGATACCTATGCACCATAGGAAGTATATAAGATAATTTGCATACTCCAGCAATTTATTTTGGCTGATTTAAAGGCCCATATCAATAATGTACCATAAAAAGGAAGTACATTATTGACATTTCACCTGCCTCAGATGATTTGATGATTACGTCTTGTTTAAGCAGATACTTAAACAAGCTTATGTCAAATGGTACATTCCCTGATATACTTAAGACTGGCAGAATCACACCCGTCTTCAAAAAAGGTAATCCAGAAGAAATAGAAAACTAACGTCCCATATCCACCTTGTCCATATTTGGCAAAATATTTGAGAAAATCATATATTCTAGGATTTATTCGTTTGTCAGCTCTCAGGGAATAATATCTAAGACTCAGTTTGGTTTCAGGCAATCGCACTCAACCTCCCATGCAGTAAACTACTCTGTTGACCTCATATCTAAGCACATCAAATTGAAGCAGCATGTGTTAGGCATATTCATCGACCTCAGTAAAGCTTTCGATACTATAGATCACTCAACATTACTTACCAAACTAGAAAGGTATGGCATCCGTGGCGTGGCAAACGATCTGATCAAGAGCTACCTAACTAATCGATTTCAGTACACTGATGTTGTAGGAGAAAAGTCCGACCTACTTCCAATAAAATTTGGGGTTCCCCAGGGGTCAATTCTCGGACCCCTTTTATTCCTACTTTACATAAATGATATCTCTAATAGCTCTATCTTGGGATCGTTTGTCACCTTTGCGGATGACACCAACATATTTTTTGTTGGTAAAACTGCACAAGAAGCATATGAACGCAGCAACACCCTACTTTCAAACCTTCAAATATACATGTGGGCTAACAAGCTTCACATAAACATGTCAAAATGCTGCTACATTCACTTTAGACCTAAGTCACGAACTGAAGCAAACGTTGAAGAAGAATCCATAATGAATATAGACAACTACCCCATCAAAAGAGTAACGTCAGCTAGATTTTTAGGAGTCGTCATTGACGAAAATCTAACATGGGAAGAACATATAATAGCCCTAAAACGAAAGCTTAACCATGCCACCTAGCCTCAACTCGTGTCGTCTACGCTGCTCCCTCCCAGAATTTCTCCACAGACAGTTATACTACACTCTTTTTGAATCCCATCTGTCGTACTGCATATCAGCATGGGGTGGGGCAGCTAAAAATCGTGTAAGCTCAATATTCACTGCACAGAAGTACTGTCTGAGGGTCTTGTTTGGTGATAGAGCAGCCTACCTGGATAAATTCAAAACGTGTGTTCGAACCAGACCATTTACTGACCAGAAACTTGATAGTAAATTTTATAAAAAGGAGCACACTAAACCTCTGTTTAAAAACAACGAGATACTCACTGTACAAAATCTTTATACTTACCATAGCTACATAGAATTATTCAAGATCATGAAGTTTTCTACTCCTATGTCTATGTACGAAGAGTATTCTCGTTCTTCCAGGAAACCAATGCTTATTATCAACAAACCGGATCCCCCAGACAACCATAACACGAGGTCAACGAAAATATGGAATACAATAACCCCTAACCTTAAACTCTTTGATTGTTCTGTTAGTATTTCTTGCCTGAAATCCAAACTTCACTACTTTCCAACCAGCATTGTCATGCCGTGTATGACTGGACAAATAAAGACTTTGATATTTGTAACCTTAAATTTTCGTAGGCTCCTGCAGGGATTCCACCTGACCTCCAAAATTTCATGACCAAATAGACTTACTCTGCCAGCGTATTCCTCTGTCAAGTTAAATGTGATGTGTGAGTGAGTAAGTGTAGTGTAAAGAGATCCTATTTTTGTATCCAATTTGAATTCTAATAAAGACCCTAAGCATTATGATCAAATTTTTAGTACAATAGTTATACCAGGGTCGACATCTATGATTAATATTATAACCCAATATTCATTTCTTTTTCTCCCTTAAATTTAAACCCCCGGCCCCCACTTAGACATTTAGCCATGATTTAGTATTGAACACCCAAAATACTTACTGTCCTTAATAATCGTAAAGACCATTTGTTACAAAATAGCTGCTAGAATAATGCATGCCAAATATTCCCTCTTACACCCATAAATTATAATGCCTTCCTATCAACGCCTTTAATTTGGTCACTAATCAACCAGACTAGTGTTCTGGCGTGTACAAAAGCTACCAGCCAGTACATTCCTTGCCCCGCTAGTTGATTGTCAAAAAATCATACAGCTCAGAACAAACGGCCATTTACAACTAAGAGCATTATATGTTTTCATTTGTTTAAATTTTATGCTGTAAAATGTGCTAAAACTTTGATTATTTGTTTAATTGATTATTTGTTTAATTGTCTAAACTAAACAATGGATAATTTAATTTCCAAAACATGGTGTAGCTTGAAGTCTCGAGATAACCTTGGTTGTGACATCTTGTGTGTTTGTAGTTCATAATTGACATAGTAGAGCCTAGTATCAGGCTTGCTGAGACTTGCACAAAGTAACCACGTATTAGCGAACATGTCCCTGACTGCTGCAGTAAAAACAATTTGGCTTTTGAATGTGAAACATTGTTTTTGAACATCATCGTGTTTTTCTTAAAAAACTTAACAAATTATTTTTGCTGTATTGGTCTGACATCATGATATCAATGGAGGGTGTACAGTGTAAATTAACAATTAGGATATGTTTTTACTTTTTGACCAATCATGCCAGATGCGATTTAAATATTGAAGGAGACATCGGATATAGGGGCGGTCTATGCCTTCTTTGCCTTCCCACGTACACCTCTAACTGCTACTAGCACACTCCTCATTATATCTATGCTCAGGCGTGTTCTGATGTTACACATAACGTGGCTGTATTCTTCCTTGGTCTGATCTTGGTGGCATACAGGCATTTGAATCAGTCAAAAATGTTTCAGTTTTATATCTTTTACGGTTTTGGCGGAACGTCGTGTTAGAGTTGATGACGTGGTGTCAGTAAAATAGTACAGATATATATTTATTTATTATATACTTACCTATCAATATACCGTCTCACTTTATCCCAGTGACATAAAGTGAGGAATCTAAGAATCTAAATCCTAGCCATATTAATTTCCATAGCCACGCCGACTAATTTTTGTCAACAAAATTATTAAATCAACTTTAAAATAGTCGCTCTTGGTTGTTACACACTGTAACGCCGCGCACTGTACTTTAATTCTATATTTATCCGAGAAGATGTTCGAATCGAGCGCAAATGCCAGATTCCTGCAGATTCCTAGTTCTTGCGCTTAACTTGCGCGTTACCAAATAATCCAAGATATTCCTGTCAGGATCCAAGATTTTCCTACTACCAGTATGGTAATATGGACTGTTTGGTAGTATGGTAGTTGCAGGAACGCGCGAAGGGCTATATGTAAATATTACAAAAGTGTGCATGGAATCGTAGCCTAGTTGGTTAATCCGTCGGTACTACATTAGCAGATCGCGAGTTCGAGACCCGGAAAGGAATTCTTTCACAATCTTTTGGCAATTATGAATAACTATACTAATGAATTAATAACTATACTAATGAATAACTGAACCTCTGTAATATAACTAGCAAAGTAAAATGAAATCGTTATCCGGCCGCGGAGCGGCCGAAAAATTTATGGTAGTCGTTTTAAAAATATATGGTAGCCGTTTTTTCTTTCCAGATTGGATTCCTAGTCCCTTTTTAAATTAATGCACTGGGCACTTTATATATAGTAAGGTTGCAGGGCGAGCTGAGGACTTCGTAAGGTTTGGTTCATGATCGAGTCAGCCTACTGACTAGGTTCAATTGAGGCTGGGTCATTCTAAAACAACTGGTAACTTGGGTACTATAAACCATTTTGCAAGCTACGACGATGTACTATCCAGTATCCAACTTCAGAAACATCTACCTCCTTTTAAGTGATCACCAAGCACAGCTGGACCATTTTTATCTCCATTTCCACTTCGGCCTACTTGCTTTGAGGTTAGGGTCCCCTTTTTAAAACTTAATGATATGTAATGGCGGTTATCCATTAACAGAACTGGAGGGTAATTTAATGTCTTCAACTGCTAAGGTTTGCATATAGCAAGCAAGACTCTCGTGATGCTGTTTTGTTTAAGCTTTACCTCAGGCCATCCCAACGTTCGGGAGAGACCTGCCCTTGTGTCTTGTTTGTTTGTACTTGACAGGTCTATTAATTGCGGCCAGTGCGCATCCATTGGATTATACTGCCAGCTTGATTTCCACTCCACACATTCAGTTCCCAATCAACCTTGTGGGATCGGAACATTATATGTATAGAGAGGTTATGTAGAGAAGACAACTAAGTTCTGCTTTAAGCCACTTTGCATCTGTATAGTGCTACACTATACAGTATGATAGTGCTACACTTTTCAGTTGTTACACACAGTTGTTCACTGAAAACGTATTCCAAAAACTTCTAATTAACACCTTACATAATGCAAACTGACAGCTGGTCTTATTTGAGGCATCATTGAAGTCAATTGAGATTAATTAGATAAATCTAGTTACTCAAATTACTAATTATACATTCCTTATCATATGTTGTGTTTCTAATTGGGGTAATCTAACCCCTTTCCCTAAAACATTTCCTTGTCACACAGTATCAATTAACTAGCACAGTAGTGAGTAGTGCTGAGTCTATTTAAACTCCGTTATACGGTGTAGTTCTTGTTGTTAGTTGCTTCTTTGTTTTACACATACCCAAGTTTGTTCCTTCCATTAGCCATGTTGGATGTAAGTTAAAACGGTTTAAATATTTATGTTATCTCGTAGAGTTAATTGCTGTGTGAATCTAATTCTAATTCTACTATAGGTTGGATGTCGTGCATCCATTACAAGTTTCGGAACAACTCCAAACATGATACAATACAGTTTGACGGGTCTTACATTACTGTGGGCGAGATCAAACAAGCCATCCTCGGACAGAAGAAGATGGGGAAAGCTCCCGACTTCACACTTCAGATTATAAATGCTCAGACTCAGGAGGGTAAGTCACAAATCTAAGTTGAGTTTTATCGTGCAGACTGTGCTAACTTAGTTGTCTCTTTTATTATATTTTATATTTATCTTATTGTCATCAATAATGTTTTATAGTCCTGTCGGTAGGCAGGAGGTTGAAATTATCTGGATTCACTGCATTGGACCATAGCTTAAATTCTCTACTCGAAAATTTTTGAACACGCCTTATTGTCAGGAAAACATGAGAAAAAAGTTTATGCACTGTATTCTTACAGTTTGATACTTTTTACATGATTTATTAATTATAAATATAAACAGTGCTTTACTGTATTCTTACTGTTTGATATATTGTTGCATCACGTGATTTACAACCTGTGTGTTTTTCAGCGTACAATGATGACAATCAGCTGATACCTCGTAATGCTGATGTAACTGTTAAACGGATCCCAACTGGAAACAAAGTCTCTAAAGCTCAACTCGCTGCGCAGTAAGTTCATCTTCTTTTAGGTATTATAACATCTGCTATTTCGATTATATAAAAGTTCTGTCAACATTGTAATAGGATCATGTTAAATATTTCTTCCAGCAGCTGGTTTGTTGAACTAAATATTCAAGATACAGTATGCAGTTAAGATCACGTACACAAATTTCCAGTTTTACCAAAGATTAAAGAATAGAGCTACCATTTGTGAATACTGACCCCATAAAATTATCACGCCCTTTATTCTTTAATTTCTGTCGTATTTTACAAATCATAAATGTACCATATTATATTATGCGCTTGATCCCATTAAGATTTTCCCATAAAGTAGTCTTCCTTTCAGAGTAATCTTACTAAACTTAAATAAAAACTTTAAATTTAATTCAGCAACACTTTGCTTGTATCTGCATCCTCCTGGACACATTTTCCACGACCATTTGACATACAAAATACCAAATTAATACATATTATTGTATCTTTTAAATAACACCGATATGCGAAAAGAAATATCAATTAGTAAACCTCTTGCTTGATGTATTATTAGCCTTAAGTAAACATTTTAACAAGCATCAACAAAATTGATCCGAATTTATTGAGCTAAAATCTATAAAATAAATACTAGTGCGGCGGTTAAAATTACTTGAGGGCGGCCCTAAGTAGTAATATCACGTGTAGAATTTATCACTCGAGAAGTAGAATTTATCACTACTTAATATTGACGGTTTACTCTACTTTCAGGAGTCAAAGTCTGGATATGTACAAGATGTCGAACACACCGCTACCTTTAACTGTTACTATGGTAACCAATTACATAATTATTGTTTAATTACTTGACGAACACTTCAAGCACTTAATTAGTTATAATTAGATGTCCTGTATAATATTATTTAAATTCTGCCTGAGCACAAACGCGTATTCAGCAAGCCCCGTTGCCATGCCAGCAAACCCAACATTTTCTGGAATCTTTATGAAGAACCCGCCCTAAATGGAAAGAAACTTCAATACAACAGAATACTGCATTGCCATGGTAACCGTAACTATGGTGACGGTTACTAAGCAGTTGGAGCTACGCTCATTGTCTGATATTCAGACTAAAGAAGGAACTATTTGGTACTGTGGTAACTGTTTGGTTACTGTGGTAACTGTTTGGTTACTGTGGTAACCAACTATGAAACTGTTCTCTGTGAGAAGAAATATCAGATAAAAGTACGCAAGTTGATGAAAAATAAGGTGTACTGTGTTCACAGTGTGAGGATTACAGATGGACTGGGAGGAAGTGTGTATATTGAAGGTATAGTGTAAATGTATTGTAATATCACAATCTATTTGTACCCAACCTTAACAACGTGTTTACTAGTAGTCACACTCAATGTAAATTTTGTTGTGGTCATCACCGTCCTGGTGGCATCAGGAGTCAGGACCGTGTTTGTTGGTAAAACTAGTCCTAAAGTGACGTCACACTACTGCTATAGTGACGTCACACTACTGCTATAGTGACGTCACACTAGTGTTAAAGTGACGTCACACTACTGCTATAGTGACGTCACACTAGTGTTAAAGTGACGTCACACTACTGCTATAGTGACGTCATACTACTGCTATAGTGACGTCACACTACTGTAACAGTTTAGCTAGCTGTTTGTGAGTACGCAGATTTCCTAACTATTTGCTGCATTAAATAAAATATTCCAGAATTAATCTCGTTTTAATTTGGTCAGGAACCATGGAGTCAGGGTTAGATATGTGATAAATCCCACTACTGTAGACGGATTCTAGAACATTCGAGTACACTTTACACAGCACGATAATAATCTTAGCTTCCTTAGAATCCTGAAATTTGATATAGCCGGAAACTTTTGTCCCTGGATTCACGAGATAACAATTAAGAAAGAAGACTCCTCACATTTCACTGCCATGCGGACTCGTTACTGTCACACACCATCCTAAAACTACACCTACTACTTACAATTCCAGACAGTATCAGATTTCACTGCCATCTTGTTAGTGTAGATAATATGAGTCACATGTTAGCGTGTAAAGAAGTTCTAGAATATCCCCTCTAATAACACACACTATTTACCCTTCATACACTCTGCTACCTCCTTCTACTAATAGGGAATAATTGCTGGCTTGTACACTAAGTAAATATAAGACAGAGGCCCCACCAGTCACGTGTAAATCAGTGTGTGTAATATCTACAGTACTGGCGTGATCACGTGACAATATAAAACAACTGCTTACATGCTGTGTAGTGCTGTGTGTGTTTTATAAACGTAATAATAGTAACAAGTAACCGCATTGGAAGTGTGTCGAGTAATAATAGTGTGCTGCAAATTAAACTCTCAATACACGTCACGAGTTAAGTACGTACGTGTACAGTGTACACATGACATGGGGAGGCGACAACAATAATCCCATCAATATTCCCCAATACTCGAACTAATCGACAATTACTCAAATTCATATCCTAAATTAATCGTAGCTAGGATTAAGTACATTAGATAAGCTGCTCAAGAAACATACTTAAAATCAACACTGTATTTCCTGTTTGTATGTATGTACAATCTGTTTGTTTAGTATATGTAAAGCTGTTGTCTTTCTGAGTTTTCAAATATTTTTCTAATCTGAGGGTGGAGCTTACAAAATCAAATGTTTTGATATTTATAAGAAGGATAAGAATTGCAAGTTTGATCTTAGCGTGATCGCAAGTTTGATTTTCAAACGATTTTTGGGGGAAGTTTGAGAATTTGAATGTTTTGAGAGAACGTTTTCATTATGAAGGAGTAAGGACCGTGGACACATCATAATCAGAACAAAAGAGAATCAGTTGATGTCTTGAAGAAGGAAGATGGATTTCATTGCTGGTGGGGCTTGCTGAACTGAACACTGGCTTTATTTCTGTTTAGATGTAATATTTTCTTTAAGATACTTAACAATTGAGCGTTTTATGGAACAGTTAAATTTATTACGCTGAATTTCAAATGTGTTAAACTTTGACCGTGACTCAGATTGATTAAAGTTTTTCAGATTTAAATTGTATCCCATTCCATTTTAATTTGATTTTCCCATGTCTTATTCCTTGCCCATCAAAAAAGAAAAGAAGAAATGAAAAGAAAATATTGGGAAAAAAAGAAAAATCCTTACAATTAATTTGTAATCTACTCTGCACGGTGCACTCATAAACTATTATTACTAGAATTGTTAGTCAACATTTCCACCAGTCCACTTATTGCGGACATTCTCTTTGTAGAAATAGTCTCTCTGATGCCTGGCCCGTTTGAACCCTCAATTTATTACTTATGGCCCTTCTGAAGTTTTGACCTATGGTCCATACCACAACGGCACTATAATCCATGAGCAGAATTGATGAAACTAATCGCACGTGCACATTCTGCGATCAGGACGAAGGGACGAGTTACTAACCGAGCACATTTCACTTTTACAGGAAAACGATCTTTCTAAAACTGAAGGTACGGAAGAAGACAAGCTAAAAGCAATGATGAAGCAGCAGGCTATGGCTTATGTTAACCCTAATAATAATAATAATAAGTAAGTTGTATGTGATTATTATCTTTTATTACAGGTTATTTTCGGCTGTTTCTAAGAAACCGAGAAACGGTAGAATGTTAGGTTGCTCCTTTATAAATCGTCTTTTTCTCCGATAATAAGTTGACATCAAGTCTTGAAAATTATTCGAGAAGAATCTCGAAGAACCGAGAAACGAAACACAAAGGTCACATGCGCGGCTTTGGGACATACTAGCAAGAACACCCAATCACTAGCAAGATGCTGTACTTATAGTCGTGTAAAGACTACAAGTGTCATCATTATCAGCTGCACGTACCGTCATTCGCGCGCATTTCCTCCCTCTTGCTCTGCTACAAGTGTAAATCCGGCCAATAATGGACCACGTCTGGGATGAGATCATAGAAATCTGTCCTTGTTAAGCCAGCTCATCATATGGAATACACTTGTTTAATCCTGCCTCATTAGCTTTAGTCTATCTTCAATCATAGCAGCGGTATCTTTGTTAGTTAAAAGGTTTCACAATTTGTTCCAGGCCTATCATGATGCGTACTATGCTAATTCCCCCATATTCAAGGTTAACTGTTTACCCGGCCCAGGAAACCCTCTCATTAGCGGGCTAAATCATGAACTGCTGTAATTATGACTGCACTAAGTTCGATTCGTGGCACACTTGGTCGGACATTTTGTTCTGCAAATTCAAGAAAATGACTGACATTTTAGCTGCAATCTTTTCACAGAAGAAAAACTGGCTAAATCGTAGCTCTAATTAGATTTTAAGGCCGTTTTAGGTTAAAGTTCGTGGAATATTTCACAAGTGAAGATGTTTTCAACACGTGGCAATGCAGTTTAATTACACCGCGTGGCTGCCCTGAATGAAAGTCTTGTTATTATCGTTATTCTTGCCGAATGTATAACTTTTCAGAGTTCGAGGGAGCCGTGAGGGGGACCATGAACTGAATTAGCTGTGATTAGAATTGCCCTAAATTAATGAGTGTCGCTAGATCGGGTGGTCCTATTGTGCAGTGTCCTGGCATTGCTCTGAGAATCCTACAATTGTCGAGATATTTGATCACTCGGATCGAAGTCATAACCTTAACGAGCCAAGGCATCGATCTCACATTAACTGGAATTTAAGAACTTGTTTTAGAATGTCCCCTGACCACGTGATGATATTGTAAACTCTTGGCCCCCGACAGTATACTGGGGGAGGCCAATATACTAATGTTCAGTTTGTCAACTTTGAATTGAAGTAAAACCTCTTCGTACCACTAAATAGTATTCTTGACGTTAGAGGATTGCAGTTATAAATCAGCAGGAACGGCAATTCCTCCTCAACATCGTCGTAAGCTTTAAGTAATGATAACTAGGAACTATTTTCAGCAACAAGAGGTACAACAAGGCGAACGCAGACGAAGAGATCCCGCTGAATTACATTTGTCACAGATGCAACACTCCTGGTCATCTCATAAAGAACTGTCCTACTAACGGGGTACGTCAAATTTCGCATTAAACAGGGGTGTTTCACATGTACGTCACACATTTCACCTTGTTATCCTTCAAAGCCCTGACCTTGAAACGAAACTCTGGAATTATGTTCATTTGATTGGAGTTGTGGAATGTGGGCACATAACACAGTGTTACCGTAAACTCCAGCCTACTCCTGCACACCTAGTCGTTGCTGTTAACCTCTAACCTTTCAGAATGCCATGTTCGAGCACCTGAACAGAGGACCCAAGAGAAAGATGACCTTGTCTCTGAGGAAGACTGAAAAGTCTGGTCCTGAATTGACTCCTGATGAAAAACGGTAACTATTTACTCCTTACTTACTCCTTAACTACATGTTTACTCTATTTTCCTGTAAAATCATTAACAGTGGGGCCTAGAAAAACCTGGCCAGATGTACTACCATGCAACTTATCGCACTAGACTGTTGACCCTCTAATCTCATGTTTTCTCCCAGGCTAATGGAGGAGAACCAGAAGACGACACAGGACAAAGTGAAAACACTAGCCCAGCAAGCCTACACCAACATTCCTCAAGAAATGAAGTGTCCTATCTGTAAACAACTCATGGTGGACGCGTGTCTGAACGCCTGCTGTGGACAGAGCTTCTGTGATGAATGTGAGTTTTCCCCTACCCCTGGCCTAGTTTTTGTGCCGCACATTCTTAGCGAATAATTAGGGCACAAAATAATATCTCACATATATATATATTGTTTAACAGAAACTTTTCGGCTGAAATAGAACGGACATATCACATATGCATAAAGGAATAAAACATATCCAAGATCGCTTAAAAAAGAATAAGAATTAAGTTTCCGACACCTCATTCCAAATAAAACACAAATCACCTGAAATCTATTAAACCGTCGTGTTCCAGGCATCAGAGACAAGCTGCTGGACGACTCTGTGTGTCCAGCATGCGGTGATGAAGTATCCTTGAACCAGCTCATCTCAAACAAGGCCCTCAGGGTCACCATCAACAAGTACAAGAAAGATCATCAGGATCAAATTGCTAAACTGTACAGTGACTGTCACATTCAGTAAGTGATAAGTTAGAACACTCTTATCTCATTTCTTATCTTACTTTAAAAACTCGCGTGTAATTGTAACATCGCTCTTGTGTAATTATACTTGCGCAATGCTACTGAATAATGACTAATACCATTTGTGTAATTAGACTTGCGCAATGCTACTAAATGACTAATACCATTTGTACAGGCCTAAAAGCAGAGACTCTACTCCTAAGCCCGACCCAGAAACCTCCAGACCCCCTACAGTCGGGCTACTACCTGACATTAAGCCAGCAGTATCTCTCACACTTATAGAGAGCACTTCTAACCTGGCTCTGACGGACACTAAACCTGTCATCTCCATGGTAACCCCCTCCCTCCCCAGTTCCATGCTCTCCATGCCTCCTGTTTCTATAGCTCCCCCTCCTGTTGCTATAATGGACAGGGTGGAACCTCCTCCAGCTGTGGCTATATTACCCCTAAAAGAAGAGATTAAAGAGGAACCGGTATCTATAGCAGAGGTAATATATATATAAGATATCCAGGGTTTATTTTATTTAATTTAAATCATCCGAAATCATTTAGTTAAAAGAAAATTGCATCGTAAATGAAAAAACATATTGACTCGTTCCTAATGTTAATTAACTTTTTATTGCAAACGTCAATCGTCGTTTAACCCTTAATCATGTTAATATGGCGTCTATCCTAGATGAAGGAAGTAAAACCGGTAGTCAGCACGATTCTACCTCCTCTCTCTTCCTTTCCTACTTCAGTCCAAGCTCCGCTACCCCTTCCTCCAATGTAAGTTGAACTGTTTTTAACCTGCCTGACCGTACCAATACAATCACCGGAATTGTGTAAAAGTTATAAATATTTATTGGTCACAATAGTTTATCTTTTGTTGATAGTTCACTGTTTCAGGAATCTACTCCCCTTCAACCCAGTTCCCACCCCCATGCACGGTGCTCCCATGGGTCTCCTCCCTCCTCCTCTTCCGCTTCCGGAACCTATCCGCGAGAATTCTCCTAAGGATAGAATCTTGGATCCCAGCGAGTTTTACACCATCCAGAAAGAGCTTAGAAGGTGTGTGCTTTTATATGCTTTAAATTGATTGTCCATCTTAAACATTCAATTAGCTGTATAATGAAGCTGTAGAGCGTGGTTTCCATAAAACTCTGTATCTCAAACACTCGTATTTCAGGTTACAAGAAAGAAGACGGTCTCGCTCCAGCTCCTACTCTCCCACTCGCCGCCGACACTCTAAAACCCCGCCAGAAAGATCACGTGGACCCTCAGCAGACAGACACCGCCGCCACAGAGAGCCTCTCCGAGAACAGAGAGCAGCCGAGAAGCGCCGCCAGGAGTCACATCACCGGATCAGGATAGAGAGGACAGCTCGTTACTCCGACAGAAGAGGAGGTCCTCCCACTGCTACTGGTAGATCTAGAGTAGGGAGAGGGGCTGGTAGGGAACCTAGAACCCTGCTGGAACGGAGTGTTAGGAACGACAGGGTCAGAGTTCCCAACGGGGAGAGGAGATCTAACGACAGTGAGGACAGGAGATCAGATCACAGTGACAGGAGGTCTTATGAGGAAGTCAGGAGATCAGATGGAGAGAAGGAACAACCTCCTTCCAGAGATGACAGCGAACCTCTCTTAAGATTCGACTCTGATCCCAAGGTAGACACAACTGAGAGGGCTATGTCTCCTAAACTAGATGGTAAACACAAGAAGAGGAGAGATAAAGATCACAAGAAGAAGAAACACAAGAAGAAGGACAAAAAAGATAAAAAGAAGAAGAAAGATAAGCCTCTAGCAGAACCAGAGATCAGACCCTCACTCACAGAATACTCAGCTTCTGATGACAGTTCTGAAGAGGATGCTCCTACAAGAGACAGCAGGAGTAGGTCCCCATCTCCCTTCAACCCCATTATAGCACCTCGTCAGGCTAGTCCCTCTCCAGACCGAATCCCTGCTCGGCCCTCTCCCACTCCTTCTCCCTCTCCAAAACGGTCTCCTTCCAAATCCTCTTCTCCTTCCCCAGATATAAGATCAAAATCTCCCGCCAGATCTCCACCACTCTCCCCATCCCCGGCAGATGTTCAGATGCAGTCTCCCCCTCACACGCCCAAACAAGAGACCCCTAAACCTCTGACTCCGGCCACGACTCCCACTGCTACAGGAGGGGAGACTCCCCAGTTCACTAACGGGAACAGCTCTGAGGATGACGACGCTGTCTCTATCGACATGAACCACTCTGATATGGAGGTTAACGGAGCTGAATCCAGCAGTTCTAACGAATCTGGTTCTGAAAACGAGAGCACTTCCAATCTGGAGAAGCTAAAGGAACAGTATAAAAAGGCTGAAGCTCAGATTAAGCAGATGCAAGAGCAACGGTTAGCTGACAAGAAGAAACTGAAGAAAAAGAAAAAGAAGAAGCGTAAGAAGGTGAAGGAAGATGAGGATAAGAAAATGAAGAAGAAGCAGAAGAAACGGAAGCAGAAAGAGAAGGATGAGCTAGAGGAAGGGGAGATTAAAACTAAATCTAAGAAGAGGAAGAGATCTCAATCGGAGATTGGTAGTCAAGAGAGCTCAGATGTTGAGCAGAGGAAGAAGACCAAGAAGGGAAAACATTCCAAAGATAAGAAAGATAAGAGCGAGACGTCCTCTAAAAGCAAAGGTGTGGAGATAAAAGTCAACTTCGATTCTCTAAAGAGTATGGAAAATGGTAGTAAGACAATCTCCATTACCTCTCCGGCTAAAACGGACTCTTCAAGGAGAGTTAGTATCGGTGTCTCTCCTGTTAAACCCATGAAAGTTAAAAGTAAACTGGACAATCACAGAATGGAGAATGCGAATCAGGAAGTTGCTGATAGCAAGTCCAGAAGAACTAAATCTCATAAAAAATCTCGACATAAAATTTCTAAAAATGCAGTTTCTGGTATCGAGGACGACCCTGAGGGGATATAAAATTTGGACTGGGATTTTAATTAACTTTTTTTTATTAAACTATTAATCAGACACTGTTGGAATGTACGCATGATATTTTTTGTAGTATGCTATTGGATTCGTGGAGTTGTGTTTTAAAATTAAAAAGTTATTTCAAAGTAAACTCGGCGAATCCGGTGTAAAGCCCGTTAACTCTTGCATTGTGTCTCAGGGTTGTAAATATCACTTATTAAACATGCACTTAAATTAAGTTGATTTTTATAAAGATTTTAAAATAATTGCGTGGGGACGTTCAGTATATGTTTACAGACCATTTTATTTGTCAGTTTTATTGTATAATTTATTTCAGATTCTCCGAATTCTTATAAAAGTTCATTCTTTCTGTGAATAAAAACACTGCGTCATTTGGTCACTAGGCTTCCTGTAAGCTTGCTCTCAATTTCATGAAGGTCGCTAGAATAGTGCCTTGTATGGCTGATCAAGGTAAGCAGTAAGGTACCAAGTTGTTGGTTATGTAACTGGAATGGTTGGTTATACACGAAATGGGCCTACTATATGCATTCATAAACTATGAAAGCATACCCAATACCTATGGATCCAATATGGCCTAGGTAGGAAGTTCCACTCTTATTTTAGGTGCTAGTTTTGAAGGTCCGGTCATATAAATGAGGCATGAGGTGCTGGAATGGACAAGTCTATGATTCTTGTTGTCCTTCTGCCTCTAGTCGAAGTTAAGCTAATAAAGTTGGAGTAAATGAACTGTTGAGTCTGTATGTTTGTTTGTTCGTTTTCCTGAACGTTTCTTCCTCAATCTTGAGTTTTATTTTGTTCTTCTTATATTTTGCTTCAAAAATCGTTAACGAGCACCACCACTGCAAAGTGCTTTACTATACGACTGTATAGTAAGGGACGAGGGTATCACCCGTTAGCGGACTCCGAGCACTTGCTCCCACTAGAAATTGTCCATTGTTAGGGGCCATCTACTTAAGACGTCCGGAAAGTAGGGAAGGGGGTGGTTTTGGAATTCCGGACAGGGGGAGGGGGGGTGGTTTCTGAAAATCCGGAAATTTTGGAAAAATTAACAAGAAAGTCCCATTTATTTCAACTCTTTGGATTTTATTAACAATGAATTTGAGTTGATTTTATTTTTATTCTTAAAAGTAGCTGGAAATAAAATCGGGGGAGGGGTGGTTTTGAAAATTCGGACGGTGAGGGGGGTGGTCTGAAAATCTGCGATTTTGGCGGACGTCCTAAGTAGATAGCCCCTTATATTATATTAATCATTCATGAACATTGAACTGACCCGGCGCGAGGCGCGAGCTATTTCGTACATCGTAGCACTTGACTCAGGTTCCGAGAATAAATGATAAAGCGGCGCGCGCCACTTCGAAGAAATTTAGACTATATAGTATCAATTATCATCGATCAAACTAGAAATCGACCGCATAAACTTTTTCACAATCTTGTCTCTTTTGAAAAGGCCCCGACTACTGCTATATGGGTATACTGACTTTCGCCCCCACACCCCCCCCCCCCCCCTGTATAATAACAGTATACTGTTATTATACGGGGGGCCGGGGGGGGGTGGGGGGGTCAAAAGTCAGTACCCATACTTGACGGGTGTTACTCGTCTAAATTTCTTTGAAGTAGCGCTCGCCGCTTTCTTCTCGAAATATTATGGCAAGTGCTACGAAGTAGCGCGCGCAGGGCCAAACTATATTAAACAATGGTCAATACCCATACCACTAGGTAGTGCGCCATCGACAGTGAGCCGACTGTAGGATGTTTTTTTAGCGCTAATTTCGGCCAGCACAATTTTCTTCAAACAAATAGATATTGAGTATCCTTCCCGACCTCCAATTGCAACAAAAATTGGTAAGCTTACTCATAGACTTACAAGGAAAGTGGAAAGTGTCCGACAAATTTAAAGCATATCCAACCATCAGACATTATGTTACAGCTAAAAGCAGCGTATTTTGCCCTATTTTGATCACTATATCAACTCCAATATCCACCAAATTTTTCGGACAGTTGTGAAAGCCCTATTGCATTGGAAGGTCGTCGCCAATTTCCAGAATGATCTCATTTAAGGAACTGAAGATAAATCCGAATAATACGACAAAAATGGTCAAATTTTGACGAATTTGGTCAAATTACGCGACTTTTACATGGCTACTTTTGCTCCAAAAGCCGCGCACTATCAAATATGGCACCTAGGCGAAACTCACTGATCTTTCCAAGAAGGTATGACAAATTTGGTATTGTGAAAATTCTCACAGTCTCTAGAAAACAGTGGTACAAAAATTTGTAAAATCCGAGCAAGTTTATTTTTATTGTGCACCCCCTTGTAGCGCGATGCGTTACTGTGCCGCGCCGCGCACTCAATGAGGCTTCTCACGCTAGATCGGCGAGATGCGCTACTGTGCCGCACCGAGCTGAGATGAATTGACATCGTCAATTAAACATATTATATTACACTGAATTGAGCTTACACCGTGTAATTTCCTCCAGTCTGCGCCGCGCGCTTATATAAACGTACTCGGCGCAGACTGGAGGAAATTACATGCACTGTGTAAGCTCCAGTGTAATGTAATATGTATGTACTTATACGGCTTAACATGTTCACAAACACGAGTATAAGCAATTCAATGTTTATTGGGTGTGGCCCCGGACAAAAATCGAATTTTCAAATTTTGGTGACGGAATCCTCGAACAAGTAGGTACAGTATGCCATTTGCAAAGCAACAACTCCCTCTCAAATATAAGACACGGCGGTGGTATAAGACCCAACGTATGGGTACTATACTGACTTTGGCCCCCCTGTATTATCTTGCTAGTTTTATAAGTTCTCACACGTATTTCCTCTCCACAAGAAGGATCCCATTTTCCTTCCGCAATTTTCTGCGTAAAAAGAAATGCTATTCTGAACACAACAAGTACGTGTCGCGTGGGAAGCTTACCATTATTGGGAGGGTAACTTTAAAGTCTAATTGCGCGGGGCACCTGACTACTATTTTACTGACTAGGCGGTAGGCCGGGAGTTACTTACCTGATAATAAAGCATGCTGTTATAGTCAACACGTGTTTTGTTCTATATCTATATATATTCTATACCAGTTTTATAATTTATCTATTCGTTAACCATCGTGCAAGGGGGGATTTACTTTTAGAACAGTGCAGCTTCATGAAAGATTATCTATTGCGTAAAATTGCCCAATTTAAGAATTAAATTTAAAGAACCACTGCCTATGCTAATTTAATTTAATTTCTGTAAACTGCACAATTACCGAAATCAAACAATTCTCTAATTAAAATATTTACCTGAACTATCGTTATACGCCTTCAGCGCGCGAAAAGTGGCATGCAACGCGAACGTATGTCAATATGCAATACGCCATCAATTTACCATTTACGCCAACTCCTTTATGAAAATAGTTACCAGGCGGCGCTCAGCCTGTCATTCCACCGAATCTCTATTTAATTTGTTGATGTTTATGAACATAATACTGCCGTTTTCTCAGAAAAGGCAGTAAGTCCAATTTTTCGAAATATGGCAATATTGGTATCAAAATTTTCAGTAGAAAATTCTCTACAACATGAGCTACATATTAATGTATAGAAACGTTGTTGCATGCAATTCCTAAGGAAGTAAGTCCAAGTTGAGAAACATTATGTTCGGTTTTGGCCAATTATTTTCTGAGAGAAGGATGTAAGTCCGGACTTACTGCCTTTTCTGAGAAAATCTTGAAAATTTTCTGAGATAAGGAAGTATTTCCGTGGACTTACTGCCTTTTCTGAGATAAATTATCTGTGATAGGAAGAAGTAGCTGGACTTACTTCCTATAAAACCATGCTAAAAACAGAATTTTAGAAAGCGATTTCCCAAAAAGAACATAACTTTACTGCCGATTGATATTTTCGCTTGAAATTTTCAGAATCGATGTATAATTACATTTCAACCTTACGTAAGTGATCAAAATTTTCATTTATGCCTAAAAAAAATTTGGTGGCCGATTTTCAAAAACGCTGGATGTATTTTAGTCGCAAAACATAAACATACGAGCAGTCATTGAGCTGTTATAATCGCAGAGAATGTTTAGTTTAGGTATATCTTTTAGATCAAGTTTATCTTCATCAAAATATCGATAAGATATCATTTAATGCACTTAAATCTTTCAAAATTGGCGAGTTTGCCTAAATAAGGGCATACTATTATTCAAAAACATTTATCATATGATATGGAGCAATTTAGATTTACCTAATTGTTTATATTTTACAATATAATCCAAAATACATAGATCCCAAGCTCAAAAATTTGGTAAAAAGCTTGGACTTACTTCCTTCTCAGAAAAATATTGAACAGAGATTTTTCTCAGAAAAGGAAGTAAGTCCAAGTTTTCTCAGAAAAGGCAGTAAGTCCATCCAGTATGAAAAATTAGCTCGATTATTTGGCATAAAAATGGTTATATCTAAGCTTATGGACGGCTCAAAGCTTTAATTTTTTTGACAAATTATAATTTGACTAATTATTGATAACTCAGCGTGTTTACTTTCGATCTTACGCAAAAAATAAGCGAAGAAAAAACCATAAACGCAAAAGTCGCAATATCTCGAAATGGCAAATATGGACTTACTGCCTTTTCTGAGAAAACGGCAGAATAGCCTGGGGTCTCCAGTCTACAGGTAAGAAAATATAACAATTTAAAAATCATGAATTTGAATCTATCGAAATATATTTTATCCGCAATAACTTGCAATGCAATCGTCAAAGTAACTTCATATCACAATCAAGTCACTTTTATTAAGTTACTTGTCGACCTCAAAGTCGCTTTATATCACATACAAAGAAACAATTAATAATTACAAGAAATAATTAATTACACAGTGATTATTAGTTGTAATAAGATAACAAAAGCTATAACATTCCGATTTTTTAAATATTTATCAACATTATAATACTTATAGCCTGGGTCCCCAGATAACATTCAGTTTCCTAAGTTTCTCCAAGTCCTACACATTACGGCTTTTACTAAATCGCTCGCCCGACGCCCAAATCATGCCTGGCCTAAAATGAAAAAAAAACTTTTGCACGTGTACTAAATGCGCGTTAGTTATTAAATGTTTGATAATTTTTGCGCCGCGCGACCGGCCACATGGAGTGGCATGCATGGAGGAGATCATGCAAGTAAAGCAATTAAGACTATTAAAGTTTATTTTTAATTGTAGTTGACGAAGTGAGAGTCTCCACTCAGTGTGTTAAAACATAATTCTTTGTCGAAGTTTTGGCTACAAGTACATGCCTTTGTCATAAACAGGACGTACTGAAAACTTACATATAACTTAATAGCTCAATAAACGTAATAATTTGTAGTGTTGTAATTAGTTTAAAACTAATTACAACACTACAAATCTATTACATTTATTGAGCTATGTAAGTTTTCAGTACGTCCTGTTTATGACAAAGGCATGTAGCCGAAACGTCGACAAAGAATTATGTTTTAACACACTGAGTGGAGACTCTCACTTCGTCAACTACAATTAAAAATAAATGATTGACCCACTCATAAGAGCAAAACAAGATTACCACTATTAAAGTTTACTCAAAACGTTTCGCGCCCGCGGAGAACTCAACATTAGTGGCTTTCAGCCAGAAGAACTTTTCAGATAGTAATATAACTATAATAGGAACAATGTGTGCAAGTTTGGGCGAATTTCTATGTGCCAAATTGGAAATATCACTTCAAACATTGGTGGTTTTGAGTGGTACCAAGGCATTTATCTCGAGATTGTGTTGATCAATTTTCTTTAAACTTTTCAGATAGTAAGATAACTATAATAGAAACAATCTGTGCGAGTTTTGGCGAATGCCTTGGTAGTTGGTACCAAATATTCTACCGATTTCGAGATATATTCTTGCGTTTGAAGTGATATCTCAAGTTTGGCACATGCCACATAGAAATTCGCCCAAACTCGCACAGATTGTTCCTATTATGCTTTATAGTTATTTTACTATCTGGAAAGTTTAAAGAAAATTGATCAACGCGATCTCGAGATAAATGCCTTGGTACCAAATATTGTACCTTGGACAGTTTGGTACAGAATAGACCTATAAGTATAAACCCACGCCCCAAAAATGATGCACTAATTTTATGCAACATTGGGGCAACTAAAATGACTAACTAACAACTAAGGAGTTTCCAGAACAAGGAACCCCTATTCTGGGAGCGATATCTTAAACATCTTAAGCTTTTCTAATTAGGTGAAAAACCGGATATTATACGGTGCCTTAAAGACGTTATACCTTGATGACCATTTTATACCCAAAGTTCTGGATCCACTATACACTCTTGTTTATTTATTTTCTCGAAATTACAGCCGTGCCTTACCTTTACCCTTTATTCCACAAGTTGTAGCCAGTGGAGTTATCTCCACTACTAGTATTGATATAAAGTCACATTTAAAACCAGTAGTATCTCTCCTTTTTCTCTCCATCTTATGTGCAATTTATTACTCTATATCCACTGACTTTATTCGACGTATTATCTAAAAGAATAAAAAAAAATTGTGTGCGTGTGTTTTTATATTTATTTTGCTACGGCGCATGTGAAACCCCAGGGCATCCAGCACCGGAGAAGCTGAAATGACACTCTCTGAACCCCTGGTGCCGCTCAGTTTTTGCCTCTCGGCTGGTAAGCCGAGTCATGATCGATTAACTCAGCTTCTTCGGTACAACACAGACCGGAGGGTACTATTAGCCGCTTTGCCGGTGGTATCCTCCTGGTGTCCTGGGGTTTGGCAGGTTCCTTTTTAAAAAAAATGACTAACTATTGTTTGACCGCCCTGTTACTTTAATGAAAACTTATTCTATAAGAAACTAACTGCAGCAATATCCTACATTTTTTACGGCCTTTGTTCTCATATCCTGAATTTTATATAACTTTCTTTCTATAAGGGTAAATGAAGATTTCAGTAACCAGATATTGCCATTTTGGATCATAAAAAGACGACTTGTCAATCTCCAATCGTTCTTTCCGTACTCGATCGTTGTCCACCTTATCTGCACTGCTAGACTGAAGTCTCAGTCTGATCATCCTTCTTTCCTGATCCACTGCAGGCGAACACTGCGTCACTCCACGCTCTGAACCTTCCCATCCTACAGTAGTACAGAACTGGATTTAGAGCTGCATTAACCACTACACTACCAATCTTTGCAATGTGCCAGGAGTACCAGAACATGAACCGAGTACCGAAGTAGACCCCGGGGTACTCCACCCTAAAGAAACGAGTCGTCATGTTGTGTATAAGGTTGATGAAGAGGGGGAGGTTACACACTAAAAACAGTGTTGTGAACATTGCTATAGTCACGCTAGCTTTGCGTTTCATCGAGTCAGTTACCGAGTACCGGAGCTTGAAGACGGACACTAGGAGAGTTACGAAGGTTAAGATGGGAGGTAGACCAGCTAGGATCAGGTTGAAAACATGCTCAAACTTCATCTGGAAGTTATAGTAACAGTAGGCACCGTCCCAGGAGTACTTGAACTCTCCCCGGAGAGGTGTTATCACGTACTGAAGAACCGGGATGAGAACCAGGATAACCACATACGTCACCACACTGCATATCACTGTTCTGATTCTGATCTTGTAGAAAGGGTTCACTATTATCACTGTTCGGAACGTACTGAGAAGGAGTACCAGGAACATGGATAACTTCTGAAGGATCGTGTAGATCACATCCCACAGAGCACAGAACAGATAATTACCAAACATCCCGGGTTCCCGCCCTCTGAACAGAGCTACAGCAACAGGGAGGTGAGTGATGGAGGTGATGGTGTCCACACTGCAGATAATAGTGTTGAGGAAGGACACTGAATCTTCTGTTGTGGTGGATGAGAAGTAGAGAGCTCCGAGGATGTTGCCAGGAATACCGACCAGTGCACAGAGGAAGAGGAGGCAGCCGAGGGTGTTGTCGAGGGGGATGTAGGGTGTTTTCATGTCAGGGTAGTCTGGATAGGACTTAACATGGGAGTTGTAGCCACGTGTGATGTTGGGTATCATTATTTCTGGAGAGGGGTTTAGTTAAAAGGAGCTGCCATTAAAACAGCGATGAACAAACTGAACTAATATTGCTCGGCCTTGGCGTATACCGTAAAACTCGAAATGTACTGAACCAAAACAAGTCGCGGTGTCCCTATAATCACGTCGATTAGAAAATGCAAAACTGGATTGGATAAAATGGAAACCACGTGAGGTCGTTCAAAATTCATTTGTATTGTATATGTATAATTATAGTGAAGTTACTCCTGGATTAGCATAGAGGTCTTATTGAATCGCATGCCGTAATTTGATTTGATTTGAAATACTCTGAACTGGCTTTACAAGGCCCGGCAATTATAATTTTAAATTATGTAGAACAAGTTTAATCGGCAACCATAACTGTGCTCATTAAAATAGTGAAGCAATATCTTGAAATTCAGAAGTTGATTAAAGTTGTTCAATTACTTCTGTTGTAAAAAATGAGGTAGAAAAGTAAACCGGTTTTATTACAAACTACTTTCGATTAAAGTGGTCCAAGAATTCCGAGTTTTATAGCAAACATAAGCTGCCATAGAAATAATTGATAGATTAAGTGCGCATAGTGTGGTGTCGGAGAAAAGTTTCAATGAGTTGCAATAATCCGAACTACATTTACCAACTACCCGATGGCTTGTAACCTTAGTTAGATAATTTTGGTAGAAGTCGAAATTAACCGTAGTATCGCATTGCAATTCTTGGTGCATTGAGACGAATTGATCGGACGATATGAAATTTTAATGAACATGTTTGACATTGATTCATCGGAAGTTCAGTCTTAACGTTTATTAATCGCACAATTCTGGATACCGGAAACGCCTGGGTATAATCATAATGTTAAAATATTTTAACCACCTTTCTAGTAGGTTAAATATCTTTGGTTCAAAAGATTCAAAATCTAATTACCGGTATCTAACCGTTTTCATAATAGACATACTAATCCTCCAATGAATAGACGTATTAAGCTATGTGATATCCTGACAGCCACACTATCTCGGCAGTATCCAAGAAGTCGGAGGACTACTATGACCAGACCGAGTAGTATTCAAAACTTCAAAACTCTTTAAAAAAGAAGCTAACAACCAAAGAGCAGCTGATAAAAGATATCATTATTCTGACTCTGATCAGACTTTAATACAGTCTGATATAAATTATATCAGAAAACTATTGGTATGATCATGTGATTCTCTTAAGGGGAGATACACCAAAACCGTTTTTGCTCCGAACATCGATTTTATTTTATATTATTTTTAAATAGACAAAAAGAATAAGATTGTACACCTTCAAAAATTTTAAAAAATATTCCCTCCTCGAGAAAAAAAATATTTTTCTTTTTCGAAAATTTTTAAAATTTGGAGAAGTCTGTCACTGTAATACCGATAGTTCGGCCATTTAAAAAGTTTTTTGGTTGATTTTTTTACTGAACATTACTTACACTCCGTACTAGAAGCCATTGAAAGGATTACATAATTGAACAATGAATGACCAAGTTACAGACCGAACAAGGTGAAAAAATAAAAATTGGGATTTTTAGGCATTTTAAGCCTTAAATCTGCCTTTTTTGCCCTTTTTTACGATGAATTTTACTAAGTCGTTTGAGGCCACATTGCATAGCTTAAAACTCAAAATTGAGAGAAATCCGGTTCCAAAAAGCTTGCCATGATCATCAACTACACTCACAAGAATTTTTGAAGCGATATCTGATGACCTGGGCGGGTGGTGAAATGTACAACTTTGGTGGTAGGCAAAAATCCCAATTTTTATTTTTTCACCTTGTTCGGTCTGTAACTTGGTCATTTATTGTTCAATTATGTAATCCTTTCAATGGCTTCTAGTACGGAGTGTAAGTAATGTTCAGTAAAAAAAATCAGCCAAAAAACTTTTTAAATGGCCGAACTATCGGTATTACAGTGACAGACTTCTCCAAATTTTAAAAATTTTCGAAAAAGAAAAATATTTTTTTTCTCGATGAGGGAATATTTTTTAAAATTTTTGAAGGTGTACGATCTTATTCTTTTTGTCTATTTAAAAATAATATAAAATAAAATCGATGTTCAGAGCAAAAACGGTTTTGGTGTATCTCCCCTTAAAGCTGTGATAAGAGTGCAATCGTCGTGATCATTGGAATGTCTATATATATTAAAACAGAAGATTTTAATTTATGGCACATATTTTTGAATGAGGTGTATTCGATTGCAATACAATGGGTTCATGAAATTTTGAAAGGAATAATAACGTTGATGTGACTCAATAACTTGATAACCGATAACGGTAAAAAACGGTTCAAATAACTCCTAGGCTCAAATAGCAACGACTATAAACGCACAGAGCTGTGAGGATGGAAATTAAAATGTGAAATTAAAAAGTGAAATTCTACCACACAACAGTTGAACGATTGGAAGTGCAGGTACCGGGGAACAAATTGTCATGTGGTAAAAGCTCTTAACTTATGTGAAATATGTATGAGGACTGGGCGCAGTAATGTCCCAGAGGGTTTGTAACATCATGGATGCTGACTAAGCTTACCTGATCCTCTCCAACTTGTATTAGTACACTACTTTATTCACACCAGTCATTTCACTACATTAAACTGATTGAGGTTATGCCCTTTGTACATGCTGAAGCGATATGCTATGATGAGTGGAATATGAGTTAGGATCAGTTTGGTCCGTTTCATGGCAAAAACATTTATTGGTTATGTATGAGGACATATTATAACAACATGTTTGATAACAATTACATTTATTAATTCATTTTCATTTATTAATTCATTTGACCTACAAATGTAATATCATTATTCATAGTTGGGGAAACGCACTCCACGAACTTTTAAAAGGTGCCGAACTCCACAAAAAAGCTATTACCGAACTTATTAGTCGCATTTCAATTTTCACAGCAGTTTTCCTTTTTGGTTACCTGTTTTGTGTTATTTGTACTCAATTAAATTTAGTAAATTAATCGCCCGAACGACCTTCGAGTGATCTCTGAGTGACCTCCGAGTGACTTCGGTTCGAAGACTCCGTGCCGGCTTTACATAATATTTATATTAATTCTATATGAGTATATGGAAATTTTAAATGTGTTTACAACGGTTTTGTCACTCAAAATTAACGGAGCAAACTACATTCTTGAATTCATGGCAACCACTGCCAAGGGTTTGTAAACTCACAGTATTGCCACAAACAAAGAAACAAATTGAGTGTGTAGCCGCGACATTTATGTAATTATAAAATCATATAATTATGTGCATAATTATGAAATCTGGTGCACCCAGCCTTATAGGAGCATATTATCATGGACTTTAACCAGTTACTTTTAAAGTAAATACATTAGAGGCACACACAACAGCACGCTTTCATGTAAATTTACGTAGCTCCAGTGGTAACGTTACGGTGTAGGCATAGCTCCTACTAGGTAGAATTATAATTCAGCGCTAGAGAAAGATAGGGTCCCTCCCCAGGCGGCTGGCCAGTAACCCAAACCAGGCTCAAATCATTAGACGAGTGGTAATATTGTTTAAACGAGTGTGCTAAATCACTATAATACACTCGATCTTCAAGATTTTTCTAAAAGGGCCCCCGACAGTTGAAACCAACTAGAAGTCTAGTAGAATCGATGTATTTTCGAATGCTGATTCCGAATCACCCCGCATAACATATAGGGTCAAAATGCTCCCCTGGCGAGATATCGGCAAAGAATGTCTCGATCACGTGATTTGACCATATAAGGAACCTGGAGGGGCATATTTAAAACATATAAGTGATACGAAAGGTTTGTATTAGCAGGAGCTTTCAAAATACTTGTGCAGCGTCTTCCATATACGGGTAAACCGCCCCTAAAACGTCACCTGTTTTTTGGGCCCAGATTGCCGAGTTAGGGCTAAATTTACAGGGTTCTGAAGTGTCTAGGAATAATATTTAAACCTTTTTCTAGCCTGCCAGGAAGATTTGGAAATTTGAAAATAAAATCAGGTACAATTTTTTTGACGTTGAAATGGAATCACTTTTAAAACACCACCCCTAAAATGTCAACTCCATATGTGTCATAATTACAAAATGTACAGGAGGCCTGATTTATCTTTTGTCACTAGTACTATTTGTTTTGTCTTATTAAAACATTAAGCTACTTGAAAACATTCACTCACCAAAGGAAGTACCTCAAAACCGTAATCACCCCCTAAAATGTCACGTGCACCACCCCTAAAACGTCAGCTAAAACAGGTTGTGTAGCACTCAGAATGTTGCTCAATTATTAATTTTAACCACTTCTGGGACAAATATAACCTATTTCTGAGAGGTGTCGACCAGAATTTCTCTCTCTGTTGAAAAAAAATGGTGGAATTTAGTCAATTTACTTTTTGTGACATTTTGGGGACTTTTTTTTGAATACCCAGAACTTACGGCAAAACAGTAACTCAGTCAACAAAATTTACACCTGTAGTTAGATTATCTAGTTGTAAACTAACAATTGGCACAAAAGAAATGGATTCAATGTGATTTTGCATGTTTTAATTGCATTTTTTGGGATTTTTAACATCATCCTGCATTTTGGCAATTTTAGTGACCTTTAGTTAACTAAGCCAACCCAGTAATCGATCTGACCTTCTCTATAGACTAGATTTGACTGCTTTTAGCAAAATTGAATGTCAAAAACTACGGTTTTTGGTACTAGTTTATGGTAAACCTATGATATGCCCCCTAAAATGTCATTTTTTTCTCCCCTAAAATGTCAAATTTGTATTTTGTTCACATGGTGTGCAATAATAGCTCTTGTTTTGGCACTTGTTAATTATTAACATCAACTATTAACGAAATGTGAGTATGCATTGCATCTTAGGAAAAGCCTGAGTAATTTGATCAGGTTAAAATGACATTTTAGGGGGGATAATTAGACATTTTAGGGGATGTTTATTGCGATTAATAAAGTAAAACTAATTCCTTGAGCTGCCAAAGCTTTCCAATATTACCATTAGATGCTAAATATGATGTTTAATAGGCTGGTACCTCCATTTTATGGTGCTTGTAGTCTCAAAGCCAGAATCTGATAAAATGACATTTTAGGGGGCGGCCAGTTGACATTTTAGGGGAGGGTAGTAATATTGAGTAATGTATAACTAAAATATGCTGCTAAAATATGTAAATATCACTATCTTAGACCAAAACCGAGTTAATATTAATGAATTCCAGAGTTATAAAATTGTGCGCTATTTTTCAAAAGTAAAAAATTCGTACAAAATGAAAAAAATGCCCTTATGGCATCATTTAGATTCAATTTCAGGATGTGGCAGGGTCTGAATGACATTTTTTTATGTTTAGGAGTTACAAATGATTAGGTAAGATACTTTCTAAGAAGATGGGATCAAATCAATCAAGAGTGGCGTTTTAGGGGTGGGTGACATTTTAGGGGCGGTTTACCCGTAAGGAAGTTGATCTAATTTCTCGTTAGGGTTCCAGCATATGCTTTAGTTAGGGATTGGATTAAGGTTAGGGTTGGGATCAGATTAGTGGGTTTGGGTTTCGAATAGTCATTCAGCGGGAGCAGGACTATTGAGCGGTGGACTGTTGAGCGTAGGACTGTAGGTCGGTGAAGGTCGGAAGTAGGACTGTAGAGCGGTGTCAAATCGCCAGGGTAGGACTCTAGAGCGGCCGCCCTTATAGATCTCACAACATGAGGACTTTAGAGCGGTACGATCCTAAAATGAGGACTGTAGAGCGGTGGACTGTTGAGCGGTGGACTGTAGGCCGGTGAAGGTCGGAAGTAGGACTGTAGAGCGGCCCTCCCTTATATAGATATAACATGAGGACTCTAGAGCGGTACCCTCCTATAACATGAGGACTCTATAGCGGTTGAAAATTTGAAGATTGAACACTCAACGAAGCGGTACCCTCCTATAACATGAGGACTCTATAGCGGTTGAAAATTTGAAGATTGAACACTCAACGAATAGAAGCTAAGTTATACATTGTAACTCGTGATTGATTGGACACATCGCCAAGCTTGACGGCCGTCTTGGGTAGTTTTTCCATCCTTTCCGTAGCGAAATCCTTGCAGCTCAGGACAAGGTTGATGGTGCCGGCTGTTCGTCGCCGGATGAAGATGGGCTTCTCAGGAGGAGAAAGACTGTTAACACTTTGCATATTGTAGGTAGTTGTAGAAGAGGAGTAGGAATCGAATTTGATATACGAAAACTGGATACTCCGTGATATTTATACCAAACCTTCGACATCCTAACAAGATATCGCACTGCGATGGGATCTGATCTGAATCAGTCCCGTCACCAGATTGATGAACATGAGATATCCTTAGTAGGCGCTAAAGCGTCACGCGATGCGATCCTCATTCCTAAATGATCTGCACGAACTTGATCGGTACTCTGCTTAGCGAAATCACATTGATACGAACAGTTCACTAAAATAACGAAGACACGTTTTACATTTTTGAGTAGCAGGGGAATATTTCAATCATTTGGAAGACGTTGAGACCGACCAATAATCTTAAATTAAGTTACACTATAATATTAGTAATGAAATATTTATAATAAGTAAATGAAAATGTTCATTAACTCCATGACTCTTTAATAAAGTTATCATCCTAGAATGTCATGATCATAATCAATCACGAGTTACAATGTATAACTTAGCTTCGTTGAGTGTTCAATCTTCAAATTTTCAACCGCTATAGAGTCCTCATGTTATAGGAGGGTACCGCTCTAGAGTCCTCATGTTATATTTATAAGGGAGGGCCGCTCTACAGTCCTACTTCCGACCTTCACCGGCCTACAGTCCACCGCTCAACAGTCCACCACTCTACAGTCCTCATTTTAGGATCGTACCGCTCTAAAGTCCTCATGTTGTGAGATCTATAAGGGCGGCCGCTCTAGAGTCCTACCCTGGCGATTTGACACCGCTCAATAAGTAAATAATCCTACAGCCCATTCAGCTATTCAGGGCCACCTAGAGAACGTGTGACAAAATTCGACAGTCGAGTGATTAATCACCATCCGGCACAAGTCACGATTGAGGTACTGGGAGCAACAAATTTGAGAAATTGACATTCACCATTTTCAAATACCTTATCGGACCTTATTTGGACGGACATTACATGAACGGACATAATTATGAACGGACATTAATATGAACGCTCGAAGGCATTCAAAACCATCAAAAATCCGAATTTTTTTCAATTTTTTTGATGTATTTTTAATTTTAGCAAATGATTTTTAAATCCATTTTTTTATACAGTAAGTAAGAAAAGCAGTCATTAAGCAGTAAAAATGTTAAAATATGTGTACAAACAAAGTTTTTAATATCACATATCATCTTCATCAAATGGGTTTTCGTGCATGAAATAGTCCATGCTTAAAGCATCAGTGATTTCTAGCTTTATGGAAACCGTTTTTTATCAAACTACCCCGGTCCTGCATTTCAATGTTAACTTTTACAAGCCATTCGGCGTGAAGTGGTTTTATCTTAGACAACTTAAGGTTAACCTTAACATCACGTAGAGCTTTCCTAGCACTGTTTCATTACCGCCCCTGAGTAATATGAGCTATAACAACGTCGGACAATAGTCCTTGGCAACACGATTTACCGTAATATCTAGAGGCTGGAACAAGTTTGTCATGTTGGCGGGGACTAGTTCATGAACTATGTTGTTGAGTGCCATAATTTCGTTGACTTTTTTCCGCCAAGTGACCCTTGAAAACATCATATACTAGTAGAGTTTTCTGTGCCTCCGGCAGACCAATGAGAACCTTTCCGTCGTTAACTTACGGCACAATGAAGTTTTCAAAATTGTCATATTCTGGACAAAAAGTTCGAAATGGAAAAAGTTTTGAAAAAATTTCAACGGACTTTAACTTGGATGGACATTAATTGAACGGACTTTATTTGAACGGACATTAAGATGAACGCTAGGGCCTCCAGCGTTCAAGTAATGTCCGTCCAAATAAGGTCCGATAAGGTATATAATAAGCTGACATGGGTTTCCTCAACCAAAAGTTCACAATTTTGACGGAGTCTATGTCCAGCGACCTATTATCGAGTTTAGTGTAGATAGAACAAAACATGATTGAGGTCAGAAGTAATGGAATAGGATAAGTGTCCTTAATCATAGCAAAATTTGTTATCAGTATGCTTAATCGTAATGATAAGTGAAGACGGAACAGTGAATACTGTGAACAGTAAACGCTGTAAAGTTCTGTGGAAATTAGAGCTTATATCTTAACCGCAAACTATTGAATATGAGCTAAGGCCCTCGAACACTTTCACGGATAATGAATGGCGAATGAAAGATAAGGTAACCGTTGAGGATCGATCAACTATCAAGCCCAAAGCGCAGGAAGTGACCTCGTCACATGCAATGAGAACACGCGCGCACGCGTTCTCCATGGCAACAGACCAGGGCGCCATAAAAAGCTTCCCTCACACGTAAAACCTCAGTTCTTTATTCGTTTCTAATACATTCGCTTATAGTCCGTCCGCCCTATCGTTTCGTTTGGAAAATTCAGGAAAATACAAAGTTAAAAGATTATCTACAGTTGTCTGACATTAAAGTTACTATATGGGTCAGACTTACAGTACACAAGCATTTAGTGATATTGTAAGTAAAATTTAAAGCGTTTACAGCCTTTTCAATTTCATTGTTTTTTGACATCAACCTTCATTATTAGTTTTTTTTGGGCCGTGGTGCTTGGAGTAATTTTTTTGTTTAAAAACCACAAAGACATTTATGCTGTTAACCGATTTGTTAAGGCCGGTTTTTCTGATTAATTTTTATGAAGAGCTAGGTATTAGTAAACTTTTCTACATCATACATACTACGTTGCGTCCTGCAATTATGTATTCATCCAATTTCTCCTCACTTGCCATAACTTTACTTTTCGGTTGTTCCTGTCGGTTTTAGTCTCATGTAGGATAATGCAACGTAGAAGTAAATGTTTAACTTATTAACAATCTTACAGGATTCATATCTGACAAGCAAGAAAAAGGTTGAAAATCAGAAACTTGTCAGAATGACTCAATCAGTAACACCGCTTCAAAATCGAACAGAAATTCAGCAAATTCAGGAATCTTGCTCCACGGTTTGTTTGTTGTTTAAAATCGAGGCTATCCGCTTTCAATGAATGTTATATTTCAAATAAATCTGTAATTAATAATCCTTTAAAAGATCACGCTGTATTCGAGCTTTTCATTCAGAAAAAGGAATCTCAGCTGATAACTAATACTAACAAATTCTTAACAGCAAGCCACGTTTCTGGAAGAGGACCAGAAAACATTGAACCCAGCAATCCCTACTCTTGCAAAAGAAGAGGAATCAAACAAGCTGCTTGAAGATGAGATGACAAAGAGCCGTCTTCTGGGGGAAAGAGTTGAACACCTCGAACAAGAAATGTGGAATAAAGATGCTGAAAACGCTAGTCTCAAGTCACAAATATGTAAATTGAATGAGATGGTTGCCGAAGAACAGCAGAAGACCTACCAAGAACAGGTCAACCTCTACCATGAGCAGGTGAAGACCTACAATGAATGGGAAGAGAAACAAAAGGAAATAGAAAAGAATAAAATTCTCCAAGAGAAACTTTCAAAAGTAGAGGAAGAGTTGTTGAACACTAAAACTCGGACTACAGTTGAAAATGATACGGACCTAATGGATTCGAGCGATTCTGAGGTAGGACCTTGTGAAAATGAAATGTGAAAGATAGACCGGTTTTATTTTCTCGTCTAAGAAATCATGACATGATATGTAATCAGTTTTGGATTCAAATTGTGGAGGGTCATTAGTCGTGATGTGCATAGGAACAATTTGTTTGTTAACATAAATTAGGTCAAATACTTTAATTTTCAGTTATTTTCATGGTTTTAATAAGATTAATATTAATAAGTTCTATTTTAAAGTTCTAATGATAGTTAATTAATTAATGGGTTTTCAGGCCACTCTTGTTAATTGTGATGTAAGTTACGTACCCGAACAAAGGATATGCCACAAAGCCGATGACCAATCTCATATGACCTCTTCTATTAGCGAACCAACCGAACAATTTGATTTTGAGCACGGAATCATTAAAGGAAATTTGCAGCCGATTCCGATTGTTCCTAATCCAGATGATTCTGGGATAGACTCTGAGACTATTATCAAAGTAAACATTTTAGTTCAAAACTTCATTCCATTTTCAATACAATTATCATCTTCATATTATGTTTTGTTCATCATGTTTCTAGCTGTATAAGCCAAATGAGGCGGCCACTGCATAATATTCAAGTCAAAACTTTATGAATGTAATCATGAACAAAGTTGTAGGTTTATAACCTACCAAGACGTGCGCCGAGTTGGACTCGTCGGTATAACGGTCTTGAAACAAATATTTTACGAGTATCACCCGTTTAAAAAGAAGTCACCAAGGTTGCAATTTGTCAAATTTGAAATTGGAAACATTATAATTTCTTTTCAAAATATAGACGATCATCAAAATTTTGAGATTTTATTCATACTTAAAAATGCAGTCAACAACATAGCTTGAATGTTTTTTGAATATGTAGCGGTTGGAAAGAATTTTAAAATCTGGGACTTGGTTTACATTTTCGACCGAATCTTACCTGGGGACCCCAGGCTATTATATTTAATTTCATAATCATATAATATACTAATAGAGATTTGGCGGTATGACAGACTGAGTAAGACCGAATCACGATCCTTTGGTATACTGGGTTACAGGATACCAAACCGGATCAAACCGGTCACATAGGCGCATAGTTACGCATAGTAACAACTTTAGGGGATCTAACGTGCTCCTTAATAAAACTTTTCGTTTTTGAATGGATGAATGTCTGAATTTGTCCAGAATATCAAACATCGCGCGGCGCGCGTTAGTTGGCAATGGCAGCTTTCTTTTATCTGCTTGTATGAAATACATAAAAACCAAATTTTAATATACATATACACTCATAGTTTTTGATCAAATATTTTGTAACAAAAATAATAATTTTAATGGGCAAAAGTTTTGTTGATAAAAACAAAAAATTATAGTCGTAATTTGTAATTAATTTGTAAATGTTTCGTACATATTATAAAAAAATGAAAATTAGTATGCGCACTAATAAATGACATTTCAATATTATACATCTTAATTTTATGAAACTTCAGAATTACAAATTAAAAAGAAGGCTTTTAATCAAAACAAAAATTCAGAAATTATGCAGCAACTTTATCGAACGAATTTAAAAACAAACAACAAATCTAACTCCAAGGCAAGGCACGAGGACAAACCAAAATATAATTTAATATAGTTTAATTTTAAAGGTTTAATATTGATTTCCTTCACTAGAACCAGTGTAATCCAGTCAAACCTGAACCTGAATTTATTAATACTGATGACGTAGAACGCGAAGTTGACATGATGATTTCCTTGTGCAACGCAGAAGAAGAGGTCGAACAGTTAAAATACTATCTTCGACTTTCACAAGAGGAAATTTACATCGCCAGAGCTCAGGAACATGACTTGTACGAGAGACTGCAGGAAGTTGAGCAGGATAGATTTCGTTTGGTTCAGCGAGTTAATGGTTTATTCAGTAAGTCCCTTCCTCGATTAACTGTTTTATTGCTGTTTTCATTTGAAGTGCAGTTTCAAATTTTAAATATTATTTTAAATATTACATATCAACAACCAAATATTAAAATAGTATATTCGGTCAGCTAATTATTTTACAAAATGTACACAAGGTTGGTGAAATTTATTTGTTTATTGTTGCTCAGTTTTGTTACCTAGCCGCGTTACTTCAGAAACCAACCAAGCATACGAAAAAGATATTACAGTGCTGCGTGATTTGAATAAGAAATTTAAAGACGGCCTTCTCGAGATGCAGTCTGAACTTTGTGAAACCGAGGATCACAACGCAAAAGTGTTCCAGAACATAACCACCGAAAATGAAAACCTGAAAGAACGACTTCTCGACTACAAAGATATGGTTCAGAACCTAACCGTTGAAAAGATAAAGCTGTCCGGGGACAATAAAGGACTCAACAACAAACTCGTCGCTTTTGAGACCTACTGTGTCAACTACCAAAATATGGTTCAGAATCTAACCATGGCAAAGGAAAAACTGTTCGCGGAAACTGAAAACCTCAACAAACAACTTGTTGAGGAACGGTCTGGTTTTTGTGCCATGGAATTGGAGGTTGGCTACAAAGATGTGGTTCAGAACCTAACTATGGCAAACGAAAAGCTGTCCGCGGAAACTGAAAACCTCAACAAACAACTTGTCGAGGAACGGTCTGGTTTTTGTGCCATGGAGGCCGGCTACAAAGATATGGTTCAGAACCTAACCGTTGCAAATATAAAGCTTTCCGGGGACAATACTGAACTCAAAAACAATTTCGCCTCTTTAGAGTCTTACTGTGCCGGCTATAAATACGTGGTGAAGAATCTAACCATGGACAAGGAGGAACTGTCCGCGGACAATGACAGCCTCAACAAACAACTCACCGAAGCACAGGCCGGATTTTGTCTTATGCAGGAGGAGTACAAATTCTTGATCGATGACATGACCACGGAGAATCAGTATCTCACCGAGGAGAATCAGGAGCTAACTTCGGAAAAAGAGAAACTGCACAAAAGGCTTAAAAAATGTCAAGGGTAATGTCGTAACCTACGTAGTACGTAGTAAAGTGTAAACCTTAACCTGCCCTAAACTAGCTCGCTGAAAAAAGAGAAGTGCCACAACACAAACCCCACAATTGTGAAAGTCTGCTTCACACGCACCTCTCAAACACCAACTGTATGCAGATGAAGATAGAAGAAATGTAAACCGAAGAGAAGATAAACGAACCCTGATATTGACGCCAAGAAGAGGACCTGTAAAACACGGCAAGAAGAATATTATTTAAAGTTTGATACTCGATATAGAGTTGAGTTATAAAGTGTTAGTTGATGATGTTAAGTTGCTCAGATGAAAAGGCACAATGTTGTCGTCCATCTAAGTAGCTTGATATGATCACATTATTTGGATATATGATGAATCTAAGGGACTGTTCACTCATGACATACTACATTTACTTTCTGAGCACATTATGTGCATAATTTCCTACCATTCTGGTGGGAGTGACTATTATCTCTGAGTGAAATGAGCGAACAATCCCTTCTATCGAATAATTGATATGAAGAGTACAACTTGATAATGATATTAAGTGACTTTGAAGAATACAAGGTACTTAATAAAAGTAACTTGATTATAAAATCAAGTGACTTTCAGTAATACAAGCTATTTATCAAAGGGATGTTAAGTGACATGGAGGAATAATAGTCTCTTGATATAAGGTCAAGGGACTTTGATTGGGATTATCAGTGACGTTGAGGAATAATATTCTCTTGGTATAAGGACCTTTGATTGGGATGTTAAGTGACTTTGAGGAATAATAGTCTCTTGATATAAGGGACTTGTATTGGGATATTAAGAGACGTTAAGGAATAATAGTCTCTTGATATAAGGTCAAGGGACTTTGATTGGGATGTTAAGTGACTTTGAGGAACAATATTCTCTTGATATAAGGACCTTTGATTGGGATGTTAAGTGACTTTGAGGAACAATAGTCTCTTGATATAAGGGACTTTGATTGTGATGTTAAGTGACATTGAGGAATAATAGTCTCTGATATAAGGGACTTTGATTAGGATGTTAAGTGACATTGAGGAACAATAGTCTCTTGATATAAGGGATTTTGATTGGGATGTTAAGTGACTTTGAGGAATAACAGTCTCTTGATATATGGAACTTTTATTGGGATATTAAGAGACGTTAAGGAATAATAGTCTCTGATATAAGGCCAAGGGACTTTGATTGGGATATTAAGTGACGTTGAGGAATAATAGTCTCTTGATATAAGGACCTTTGATTGGGATGTTAAGTGACATTGAGGAATAATAGTCTCTGATATAAGTGACTTTGATTGGGATATTAAGTGACTTTGAGGAATAATAGTCTCTGATATAAGGGACTTTGATTAGGATGTTAAGTGACATTGAGGAATAATAGTTTCTTGATATAAGGGATTTTGATTAGGATGTTAAGTGACTTTGAGGAATAATAGTCTCTTGATATAAGGGACTTTGATTAGGATGTTAAGTGACATTGAGGAATAATAGTTTCTTGATATAAGGGATTTTGATTAGGATGTTAAGTGACTTTGAGGAATAATAGTCTCTTGATAAAAGGGACTTTGATTGGGATATTAAGTGACTTTGAGGAATAATAGTCTCTTGATATAAGGACCTTTGATTGGGATGTTAAGTGACTTGGAGGAATAATAGTCTCTTAATATAAGGGATTTTGATTGGGATATTAAGAGACGTTAAGGAATAATAGTCCCTGATATAAGGCCAACAGGCCAAGGGACTTTGATGTGGATGTTCAGTGACGTTGAGGAATAATAGTCTCTTGATATATGAGACTTTGATTGTGATGTTAAGTGACGTTGAGGAACAATAGTCTCTGATATAAGGGACTTTGATTGGGATGTTAAGTGACGTTGAGGAATAATAGTCTCTTGATATAAGGGACTTTGATTGGGATATTAAGTGACTTTGAGGAATAATAGTCTCTGATATAAGGGATTTTGATTGGGATGTTAAGTGACGTTGAGGAATAACAGTCTCTTGATATATGGAACTTTTATTGGGATATTAAGAGATGTTAAGGAATAATAGTCTCTTGATATAAGGGACTTTAATTGGGATTATCAGTGACGTTGAGGAATAATAGTCTCTTGATATAAGGACCTTTGATTGGGATGTTAAGTGACATTGAGGAATAATAGTCTCTGATATAAGTGACTTTGATTGGGATGTTAAGTGACTTTGAGTAATAATAGTCTCTTAATATAAGGGATTTTGATTGGGATATTAAGTGACGTTGAGGAATAATAGTCTCTTGATATAAGGACCTTTGATTGGGATGTTAAGTGACTTGGAGGAATAATAGTCTCTTAGTATAAGGGATTTTGATTGGGATATTAAGTGACGTTGAGGAACAATAGTCTCTGATATAAGGGACTTTGATTGGGATGTTAAGTGACATTGAGGAATAATAGTCTCTTGATATAAGGACTTTTGATTAGGATGTTAAGTGACTCTGAGGAACAATAGTCTCTTGATATAAGGGACTTTGATTGTGATGTTAAGTGACATTGAGGAATAATAGTCTCTTGATATAAGGACTTTTGATTAGGATGTTAAGTGACTCTGAGGAACAATAGTCTCTTGATATAAGGGACTTTGATTGAGATGTTAAGTGACATTGAGGAATAATAGTCTCTTGATATAAGGAACTTTGATTGGGATATTAAGTGACGTTAAGGAATAATAGTCTCTTGATATAAGGACTTTTGATTAGGATGTTGAGTGACTTTGAGGAATAATAGTCTCTTGATATAAGGACTTTTGATTAGGATGTTAAGTGACTCTGAGGAACAATAGTCTCTTGATATAAGGGACTTTGATTGTGATGTTAAGTGACATTGAGGAATAATAGTCTCTTGATATAAGGAACTTTGATTGGGATATTAAGTGACGTTAAGGAATAATAGTCTCTTGATATAAGGACTTTTGATTAGGATGTTGAGTGACTTTGAGGAATAATAGTCTCTTGATATAAGGGACTTTGATTGGGATGTTAAGTGACTTTGAGGAATAATAGTCTCTTGATATAAGGCCAAGGGAATTTGATTGGGATATTAAGTGACTCTGAGGAACAATAGTCTCTTGGTATAAGGGACTTTGATTGTGATGTTAAGTGACATTGAGGAATAATAGTCTCTTGATATAAGGAACTTTGATTGGGATATTAAGTGACGTTAAGGAATAATAGTCTCTTGATATAAGGACTTTTGATTAGGATGTTGAGTGACTTTGAGAAATAATAGTCTCTTGATATAAGGACTTTTGATTAGGATGTTAAGTGACTTTGAGGAATAATAGTCTCTTGATATAAGGACTTTTGATTAGGATTTTTTTTTTTTTTTTTTTTTTTTGTCGCGACACCCACTGACCACCGTCATATAGAGGTGGCGACCCTCCACTTGGGGAGCGTCCTACTGGAGTCCATCCATCTGCATTAAGCCCCTTCCCTGAGGGCCACTGGATGATAATACCTGCTAAGGTATCAGCCGAATCGGGGTTGCACCTCCGGAGATTTACTAACTTGGTCCCTAGGGAAGTTCTGGGTGGTTACCCTGGCCGCTCAACACCATGAAAGGATGACGCCCGTGCTGAGTAATGCTGGCTCTTGAGACTTGGTGAGACGTAGGTTGCTAATGGCGGTTGCGGGTGTGCTAACGTTTGGATAGTGTGTTAGGTGGTGGGGAACTGTATTGATACTATCTGCCTTTTGGTGGCTGAGCTAAAACGTGAGGGTTTGTGATGTCACGTGAGGTGGACTCTCACTCAGTCCAGAAATAACAGGAGCAGGGATCATATTGTACGACACAGGAAATACAGGTTCTGATCCAGGGTCCATTTATGCCATTACACACATTACACACGTTTGGTGTGGTAACTACTATACATTACTCCCATAACACTCCCACAATGTAGCGATACTCCCATTGCACTCCCACATTGTAGCGATACTCCCATTACACTCCCACATTGTAGCGATACTCCCATTGCACTCCCACATTGTAGCGATACTCCCATTACACTCCCACAATGTAGCGATACTCCCATTACACTCCCATATTGTAGCGATACTCCCATTACACTCCCACATTGTAGCGATACTCCCATTACACTCCCATATTGTAGCGATACTCCCATTACACTCCCACATTGTAGCGATACTCCCATTACACTCCCACATTGTAGCGATACTCCCATTACACTCCCACATTGTAGCGATACTCCCATTACACTCCCACATTGTAGCGATACTCCCATTACACTCTCCGAGGGGCGGCAAATTTGCAAACAGGGGGGCAGCAAAACCCAGCGGGCTAATTAATGTAGAGACTGGCAAGCAGAACGGCTATATTAACAAGTGGTTTAATCCGGTTTGGCTTGTCATGATCGAATTACCGCACCGCGGCGTGAGGTTAGTGTCACATGGGAGTCAGGTGAGTGATATTGGTGCTAGCGGGAAGCAGTTCTGTGCGCGCACCCGCTGTTTATGACTGCGCGCCAATCTTTGCTTATATCTGGGGTGTTAGTCGATCGTTGCCAGTAGAGTCCTGGTACATAAGGGGGCCCACTAGCGCTGTCGGCTCTATAGTAACCCAAGGAGCTGGCGTATTCAAGGCCCACCATGGCTTTTGCGAGTTGCCTCGTGAGTTAAACTGGTGTATTCATAGCCCACCATGGCATTGCGAGTCCCCTCGCTAGGCACAAGATTCTTTTATAGACACTAATGCTGCCTCGCCACAAAGTGCAATGCGGACAGACATGAGCCCTGGAAGAACCAGTAAAACCTGACAAGGATTCTCACCCTGTTTTTGATTAGGATGTTGAGTGACTTTGAGGAATAATAGTCTCTTGATATAAGGGATTTTGATTGGGATGTTAAGTGACATTGAGGAATAATATTCTCTTGGTATAAGGACCTTTGATTGGGATGTTGAGTGACTTTGAGGAATAATAGTCTCTTGATATAAGGACCTTTGATTAGGATGTTGAGTGACTTTGAGGAATAATAGTCTCTTGATATAAGGGACTTTGGTTGGGATATTAAGAGACGTTAATGAATAATAGTCTCTTAATATAAGGGATTTTGATTGGGATGTTAAGTGACTTTGAGGAATAATAGTCTCTTGATATAAGTGACTTTGGTTGGGATATTAAGAGACGTTACTGAATAATAGTCTCTTAATATAAGGACTTTTGATTAGGATGTTAAGTGACTTTGAGGAATAATAGTCTCTTGATATAAGGCCAAGGGAATTTGATTGGGATATTAAGTGACTCTGAGGAACAAT